AAAAAAAAAAAGCAATACAAACCGTTTTTAAACATGATTAACTACACTCATTTAATAAGAGAAATTAAAACTGAAATACTATTTTTTACCTCAGTCTGCAAAGATAAAAAATAATAATATACTATGATGGTAAGCATGTAGGAAAACAGGCAAAATCGCACATTTCTGGTGTGCAAATGCGATGACAGACCCTCCACAGTAACAATGTGGCAATATCTGTCAGAATGTTTAAATCCTCTGTCCCAGAAATTCAATTTCTACAAATTTATTCTGCAGATACAGACATACATGTGGGAAATGACATGTATAATATAATTCACATTTATATTCATAAAAATATAAAATAGTTTGTAAAGTCAGTTTAAGTGAAGGGAAAAAAAGCAAGGTGCAGACACATGTGAAGTAGGCTACCATATGAATAAAAAAGGGGAATGGGAGTATATGTACATATTACTTTTAGTATATGAATAACACAACTGGACAAATACCTTGGGGATAATAAGAGGACTTTTCATTGTATACTTTTCATACATTTTAAACTTTACCATATGAATGCTTTATCTATCCAAAAATAAATAAGATTAATATTAAATGAATGAAATGAAATGCAAATCTGAGGTCATATGCTTTCAATAGCTTTCCACTACCCTTAGAATTAAGTCTAAATGTCTGAAGACTTAAAGAACCTTACATAATAATATGCTATTTTCATCTCTGCAGTTTCATCTCTAAATACTTTGTCCTTCACATTCCACAGTCCTAAACATTTTTCAGTTACTTAAACAAGCCCCGCTCCATTTTGCTTCTGAACTTTAGCAAATGTTCTTATTCTCTAAACCTAGAATACTCTTCACCACCCTTATCACATGATTTATGCCTACTCTAAGGACTCAAACAAAATCACTGCTTCCATAAAGCTTTTCCTGATATCCCAACCCCAAGTCTGGGTGGATGCCCATAGTATATGCCCTCACAGTATCCTTTCCTGTCATAGTTCTTTGTATACTATTTAGCTTAACGGTCTGTCTCCCTCAAGAATATAGGAAGTCCTGGGATAGAAGCACTGTATCTTCACAACCTCTATTGAAACCCTAGGGCTGATACAGTATCTGGTATACAGTTGGCATTCCATGAATATTTTTAAGTAAACTGAATTGAATTAATGAGCAAGTGCATGGACAAATGTATAAGTAAATAAATGAACTAGACAGTAAGGAAGGGAGGGTCACAGATAGATTCAGTGAAGAAAGTAATAACACAAGCTCTACTCCACCTAAAAATGGTTAAAATGATAAATTTTGCATTATGTATATTTTACCACAAAAAGAAAAAATATATAAAATCCTACTATCACATTAATTCACATGTCCAAATTTGTACTTATTATCATCCCTTCTAAGCCAAATTCCAATCCCAATTTTCCCATTTTGAAGGTGTTCCTTAAAGAGTTAAGCTTAAATTGTGAACCCTGTTTCCTCTCATTTCTTTAATTCCTAGATCTTATTTATCTCTACAGTCTATAAATACGTCTTTTACATTATTCATGCCTTCTTTGCCACTACTTAAATGTTTTACTTATGGGCAACAGGCTTTAAAACTTACCAAATTTCTAAACCAATACTGTGTAAGTTTACTTATGTTAAATATGTAAAGCTAAAAGAAGTACAAGAAGCTTTAATAAAAACTGGTTTGAACTGTTATTATAAAAGTAACAACAAATAATTTTTAAATTCAAACCTTGTTTATAAAACAATTGCTTAATATTTTAAGAACATATTTACAATGTCCATTTATATTACTTTGTATGAACTTTTCAATGTCATTAATGAACATTTTACATCTTACCTCTGTATGGTATTCCATAGCATCTAGTTCACCTTGATTGAATACAATACATCTTTTACGCTTCTAAAAAGTAAATTACAGAAAGATTATTCTGTTGCCATCTATTACAATATTGGTATTGTAAACGATATTAATATTTCTTTTATTTTTCACATTTTCAGCATGGTGTATTTCAGTCCTTAAGAGGTAATAATCGACTGAGATCAAAATCAATACAAAGGATATAGACTATGGAGGTAAGCTTTCCCAAATCATAATAATTATTATTTCTACAAACAATGGATGAAAAAAGGTCACCTCAACCTTATCTGCTATTAATAGGAATTGGTACCACATGATGAAATGGAACAGAAACAGTATAAACAGTTACCAGGGTCATCTATCAGTTGATACATATATATATATATGGCATAATTATTCTCAACTTTCACTTCGAAGGAGAGGAAATTTCCATGTATTATCATGAAAAATTCCAATCTACTTTTAATAGGTCTTTATGACTGATGTGAGGACTAGTGAGATACATTAACACTGTTCTACATCTAACAACTCCATAGAAAGGAACAAGCAAAAAAGTGCAAAAGAGCAGTGACTTTGTACTTCTCACGGCTGAAACCCTGGTGCTTAACATGGCAGGAAACTCCTAGCATGCTAATGATAAATTTTGGCTAAATAAATAAATGGACTTAAGGTTAAGATAACTGTACAATCTTCTTTAGCATATCAGAAGTTTTGTAAGATAACATACATTACATATGCTCACCTCTATTTTCTATATTAAAATGAGAAATTTACCCAAATAAGAGTCTAAATATTAAAAGATGTCCATACTCAGTAAACCACAAAGTCTGTTACAAATGCTTACTTGTCTGAATTAGTAATAGTGATCATAAGTTACCTATATGCTATTTTATTAGGATCTCAGAAACACTATACGTTTTCTTTTCTATGCCAGACACATAGATGATCAATATTTTTTGAAAGGGAAAAAAAGATACAAGAAATCACAAGAATATTAAAAGTTCTACTTCAAGGACCTATAACAATGTGATACATTATCTCTATTACTTTCCTTATTCTAATTCTTAACACGGTATCTTACATAGTATCTTTCTTCCCCACTCAATTACAAGACCCAAAGAGGCTGAGATGGTGTTTACTTTGTTTCATCCCTGTATGTACAATGGCATGTAGAAAGATCTATGTACAAATGAGTATTATACCTATCTCTAACAAAGAAAATGTTCACATAATCTCTTTGAAATATACTTTGTATCATTACCTCTAAGCTCTTCAGACATAGTACACATTTTCCATAGTAGTTTTCTACTTTAATCACTAGAAAGTTTTGAAAAATAATCACCCTTCATCCAAATTTTATTATATGAGTTTATCCCCAAGAGACAGGTCCCTAAAAATCTCCCAAAATCCATATCCTGCTTTAGAATTCTGCAGAGAAAGCAGCATATTTTTTAACAAAAGCAGATGTAAAAACATGTAATTAATACAAATGCCTAAGCAAAAGGGTTTTTTCGCCATGTAGTTAACTTATTTTACAGAGCATTCACATCTGAGCCAACCTGCTTACTTCTGAAATATGCAAATTTGATCTGCTAAGAATGGTACAATGTTACAAAAGAGTTAAAAATTATACTGGATATGCTAAAGTCTTCTTATGCTTTATTATTTTTTATACTTAGTAAATCACAAGGTATTTGAAATACTGGAAATTTCTCCTGTGTTCTGCAGAAAAATTAAAATACTTAAAACTTTCTACCTTCCCAATAATAGAAATGAAGTTTTCTTTTGTAACACCATTCATTAGATCTTCCTTTTCATTCCTTTGTTCGCCTTCTTTGTGTATAGCTGGAGTTATGTAAGGTTTGGTGACATCAAATAGTTCAGATCGAAAAACATATTTTTGTATGAACATTTCACAATTTCCTCCATCGTCATTATCTGCCTTAAAGGTAGAGTCAAAAGCAGTAAATGTAGCAGAGGCTCCAAAAGAGGACACAGAATCCGTTTGAAGAGAATCAGACTGTATAGAAGAAGTGGGCTCATTTTTACTGCAACAGGGCTCAAGTTGCTGGTGAAGTTGATAGTTTATCTTGTTAATGAAAGAAAGATGATCCAGTAACCATCCAGCTGACAGCTGATGCACCACAGACATTCTCTTCCTTAAAAAAGGGAGAAAAAGAGCCCTCTGGGAATTAAGGACTAGAAGTAAAACCCAACTTTCCAGAGTCTTTAATGTCCTGTATTTCCAACAAAATATTCTTCATATAAACAGGTAAATTTGAGGTACACAAAAGAGATTTTAACATATGTTAAGGAAAATGGCAATGTTTAATATAAACTTTCAATTTCAAGGCTGATAATTCAAAATTCTCAGCAGACTTGGCGAAAGAGAGTTAAAACCTGATCATATTCCTAGAATCCCAACTGGATCCTCCCATTTTCCTGGACCCTCCACACAACCTCCTGCTTGGTCCTTGGCTCTAACCACTAGGTCCACATCCTCCAAGTCAGGCAGTCACTGAATCCTTAAAACGTGAGTGTCCTGTCAAAGCAAAGAATAATACATTACCTATGTGAATCATCACCCTTTTTAATGAGATAAACCTAGAGAGGGTCACAGAAATTCAAGAGTTGTTGTTAGGTCAGCCCTTGTTTTTTCAAATTCTATCTGCAATAGTAAGTCAGTGCATTCTCCAGTACACATTGTATTACTTAAGCCCTGCTAACAGTAGAGTGCAAAAAGGGTTAAAAAAAAAAACTTGATCAAGGCAAACCAAAATGCAATTTAACAGCACATCAGAAGCAATAAACCCTAATGAAATTTTAAGACTAGAGTCCGAATATTGGTTCTCAGCAGTCCTCCTCCAGAAACTAGGTTTTTCAGAACTTCCTTATCTTTTTGAAAAGATGGTTTTCAGTTCTGGATATTGCTAACTAAATGTAGTGTAGTGGAGAACTTAAGATAGGAACAGAATAAGATGTACTTAAGTGGTTAACAGCAGAGTTAATAAAATCATTTAGTTCAAACTTCTCACCTCAAGCAGTATTAGCAGTATGACTATGGACAAGTTATTTGATCACACTGAGCCTCAAGTCCTAATTTTTTATACCTCAGAGGGTAGTTTAGACAATTAAATGAAATAATCTATGTGAAGTGCACATTGCCTGACACATAGCAATTGCTCAAATAAATGCTTCTAGTGATGGTACTTCTAGTACTGGTCCTTTAGAGTCACCACCTGCGTTGCGGAGAACCTGAAAATGGCTGGTGAGTGCAAGAAATTTAGATAAGACTGAAACTCGACAGGGTCGGTGATGTGCCCCGAATTACAATTCTAATTAATGGCACAATTGCTACAAAAATCAGGTATGTAGACTTTGGCTCTGAGCTCTTCTACCCCGGCCACTCTCCAGGTATTGGAGGTCTCCAGTGCTGGTCTCTTGAGTTCAAATTCAGAGCAGCGGGGAAGACCTATTTTAGGAAAGTAAACTACCGTGCTTAGGGCACCTCTAACTCTCCTACTTTTCAGCTTCCCACTCAACCCACGCCCACCTCCTCGGATTCCTCCTAGCCTGTCACACGCCACCATCAGAGGACCGCGAAACCCTAGCGGCAGTCAAGTTCCAAGCCCGAATCCTGACCGCGGGCCACACCGGAGCGGTCCTTGCGGCTGAATGCATCCACGCTCAGCAGTCACCGGCTCATACCTCGCCACTTCCCTTGTCAGAAGAGTGGGCGCCGCCTTCCCCGACTTGCATCATGAAAACAGAACCCAGCTAAACAGTGGTCCTTTCCTTTCGCGGCAAAGGAAAAACAATTTCCTTTCCTAAGAGCAACCGGGCGCGGCCATGTTGCTGTACGGAAAAAGCATTTCCAGAGCAACTAGGGGCACCCTGCCCACTACTTAACGAGGCAGAGCGCTGGAGTCCTCGAAACTAAGTTTAGGGCCGAACCAGACTTCATTTGGGGCGCTCACACTGACCCGGAGACGCCAGGGAGGCGGGCGAGGCGACCAGGCGAGATGAACTCGCAGAGTTTCGGCGACCAGGAGCGGCGCGTAGAAATGCGCACGCGCGCACATGTGCGTGATGACGTCCACGCCGGCGGAGATTTTAAAATTCGAACGGCGGCGGCGGGTGGAGGTAGAAACTGGAGATTGGCGGCCGCTCTTCTGTATAGTAGACGATTGCACGGGTTGCAAAAATTGGGTCCCTGGATCACATCAGGAAACTGGAAGAAAGGTGACTAAAACTTTGGGTTAATTTTTTTTTCGGCTGTACTTCCTGGAGGGAGAAAGCGATGGCGCCAACAACTTAGATTTAGAGGCCCGGAGAGACGTTTTAGTGTCAGCTGTTGTGAGGGGCGTCTGGGCCGAATCTGCGAGACGCTCGTTTCCCAGAGTCCAGTAAATTTCCACTGGCAGTGATTTTCCAAGGGAGAAGGGGAGGGCTAGCGGGACAATGGTGGGAGAAGAGGGACTGGAGAGAGGAAGGGGGGAGGAATTGATGGGAGCGGGGAAGGACAAGAGGAGCAACTGTTTGGTGTGCTGCCTTTGAGAAACTAGTGTAATATCCTAGTGGCCAAATAGAGTACATCTGTAACACTTAAATTACATTTTAGGTGAAGATTAGGAGTGGAGATATCTACAGGTGAGAATGGAAAAGTTGAGTGGGGCGGGGCACGGGGAAGGCAGTGTAACAGAGAAGACAAGTAGTGATTCTATAGCATCTTACTACGCTGATGGACAGTGACTGTAATGGGGTATGTAGTGGGGACTTGATAATGGGGAAATCTAGTAATCATAATGTTGCTCATGTAATTGTACATTAATGATACCAAAATAAAAAAAGAAAAGTTGAATAGATGCAGAATGTGGAATGAAGGAGAAGAAATTAAGTGCCAAACCAAGGAGGAAAGAGTGTAATCAGATTAAAAAAACCAAAGAGAGCACAGACAGGTGAAAGGATAACCTCATAAATGTCCACTTTCCCGGAAGCCAGGGCACATCCTAAGAAAGCTAGAAGATGCCTAGTGTCTAATGCTGCGGAAATGAGGTAGGATCAAAAGATTTGTCAGTAATGAGTATCCTAGGAAGCAACGGCTTCAGATGTGAACAGAATGAGATGTGGATGTGGTCTGAGAAAATGGAAGAAGCCTATAGAGCGCTTTGTGGACCAGATAATTTATTCTTGTTGAAAGGGAGATTTAAGCAAGAGGGGAAACAGTGGGTTAAGGACAGAGCAAGAGAGATGGACGTTGGGAAAAGAAAACAGAATAGCTGTATTGTCTGAGACCAAAGAAAAGGAAACATCTTGAGGTAGTTCTTCTCAGCCAAAGACTTCACAGTAAAATAGACACAGCCAAGAGCAGTGATGTGGTCTGGGTTAGGATCCAGGGCTTTCACTACCACAGACACCCTTGTAAAGGCAGAAATCACACCTTATTCACTTTTGTATTGTTTGCATTGCCTTGCACACTCCCCTGTACATAGTAGGCTGTTATTAAGTGTTTAGGTGTGTTGAATATTTTTAAGTGAAGTTTAATAGATACTCCCTGCAAATGAGGACTTCACCTTACATAAACAAGCAAAAAGAACCCAGGGAAAGGTCTTAAAGAAACAACGAAACTTGGCTGCCTCTCTGTTTGAGGACAAAGATAATAGTTATGCTTCATGTACCTTCTATGTCTAGGAAGATTTTTTTTTTTAATACTGAATTCATGGATGCAGGTCATAAGCATGAAGCGCAGTTCAGTTTCCACTGGTGGTGCTGGCCGCCTCTCCATGCAGGATTTAAGATCCCAGGACTTAAATAAACAAAGCCTCCATACCCCTCAAACGTAAGTACCTCATGCCTTATCATTTTGGGTGAAGAAATCTATAAAGGTGGTTAATACAAAGATGCAGTATGAGTGATGCCTCTTGTCTGTTCCAGTGGTACCTAATTTTGGATCATTGAAGGCTAAAGGTGAGTATGTCACCAGGTGCTATGTTTTATCTCATTTACTCCTTAAATTCCCAAAGCCATATCTTTTGCCATGCAACCTAAAGGGACTGTTTAGTTCCCCTTCAGTATTCTTTCTTTATTTTCCTTCTTTATTCTAGAGCTGCTTATTTAAGCAGCCTATGTGCTATAGCTTTCAATTTGTAACTAGCAAAGTTCTCAATCAAAGGTATTGTTTGCTCTAACGATAAGGTATGTTTAGTAGCAGCTTATACAAACCACATCTCCAAACTATTTCCTCAAGATTCAGTGGAAGAGTATCCAAAAGAATTTGCTCTCATAAACTAGTTTTTCCCTATAAGTGGTTTTCTTCCATTTGAGAGAAGGCTATTTGTAAGCCACTGGAGAGCTGTATCAACCTTTTGTGGGTACAAGTTAGCTGCTAACTATTCTTAAATTACATAGGTTTACATAGTATGAGCCTGTGCTACTTTCAGAAATTTGAAGTAGTTATATATTTTTCTTCTGAAATCAGAGAAATTTTTTGTACTATTGCACATTCTGTACACCAAAATATTTATGCTTTAAGTTGTGTAGAAGCTAAAAGGCTACCATTGTCAATGTTTTTGGTCTGTGAGTTAGATGATATATACTCTGTAAGTGCAGCTACATTTTGATAAGAGTAGGCCCTATAGAAATAATTTTAAATGTAGCTATTCTATGACTGAAAATATCTATTTTTAAATGTTTTCCTTAGAGTTGTTATCCACAAATGTACATCTTTTTCATAATTAGATTTTTTCTGCTTTCTTAACATTTTAGCATTATGCTATGGTGTTATCCTCTCCTACTTACAACAGCTCTGATTGCTGCAAAAATTTTTCATGATTTTGAATTATTTTTATAAGTAACAGGAAAGAGGTGTTGGTCCCAACATATTTCCAGAAGTTCCTTGAACTAATATTTTTTTATTTGTTTTAAAGAGTTTGTTCTTCTCCTTTTCTCAAAGCAAAGAGAAACCAGCCTTTGGAAAGCTGAATTTAAACAAACCCACTTCTGAAAGAAAAGTCTCTATATTTGGTAAAAGGTAATGAGATTTTTTTCTATTAGTTCTAATGAAGGGATTCTTATAGCCATGCATTGGACTGGATACTTTCAAAATACAAAAAATTAGATGACATGGTCCCTTTCAAGAGAAAGTTATAATCTAGTTTTTCTCTGTTTTAAATGATTATATCTGCTTTAGATAATCTAAGGGATATATCAGTATGCTGAGACCACTATTTCATTGTTGCAAGTGAAGAGTTGATAGAAAATTCTATGCCAAGCTTTCACATCTACAGAATCATGGCATTTTAAAATTAGTGGGAACTGTCATCTAGTTCCAACATTTTATTCCAGACTTATTTATACTCTTACATACTAAGGACTGAAAGAGCTGATATTTTGTAGGTGATATGTATTAACCATATTAGAAATTAAAATAGAAAAATTTTTAATATATATTCAATTTAAAATAATAAACCATTACATGTTAATATAAATAACATGCTTTTAATTTTTAAAAAACTTAAAGTACAGAATTATTTCAGTAAGAAGAGTACCATTGTTTTACATTTTTGCAGATCTCTTCAATGTCTTGCTTAATAGAGGTAGCTAAATTCTCATACCTGCTTCCATATTTAATTTATTATAATATCAATGTCATGTAGCCAGCTTCTGGAAAACTCCACCATGCACTAATGAGATAATGTGAATGAAAGAGGCAAATAATACTTAGTTTTATTACAAAAATAGTTTTGACTTCTCAGATTCCCTAGATAAACTTTGAGAACCACTGTCTGGAGTAGATCAATGGTTGCCTGGTCTGTGATAGGGCAAGGTTGACTATTAAGGGTTGTAAGACTTTTGGGATGATGGGAAAGTTCCATGTTTTAATTGTGGTAGAGATTACAAAGATGTATACATTGTTAAACCTCATCAAACTGTACACCTTAAATAGGTACATTTTATTCTTAGCAAATTAGACCTCAATTAAGTGGGTTGGGTTTTTTGTTTTTTGTTTTTAAGAAATGTTTGACCACAAAATTGGGAAAATAAACTGTTCTTTTATCTCACCAAATAAATATAACTTTAAGACAAACCTGTTTGTAAGTTGGTCAAAATATTTAGAGATGAAATATTTGTTACCTTTTGAAAAATCTCTGCCATGAAACTGAGTTAAACTCTTTCTGGTATTCATTCCAGTTAATGAAAAATGTTATGGCTTTCTTGAAATGTAATTTTCATCTCAGAGCTGAGCTTCAGAGATAATTATAGTGGTAATTATAAAAATCTAACATTTGATAAGCAACTTTGTAAGTCAGACACTGTTTTAAGGACTTTATATTAACTCTTTTAATCAATCCTCAGAACTGCCCTATGAATATTGTTGTTGTCACCATTTTACAGGAAAGGAATTGAAGCACAGAGAGGTTAAATAATTACCCAAAATCATAAAACTAGTAACAGACAGAATTTGAAATCACAGAATCTGATTCTAGACCCTGTGCTTTTAAACTATAAATCAAATGATATAGTATATTTTGATTGGTTGGGAAATTCTGTTATAATTTAAAGAGATACCTGTTACTGCAGTTTTGTATAGAATAGAGCTAAGCCCATACATGTATTCCTTTTATGATAAAAAAAGAAGTTAAAGATTAATAGCAGTATGTAGAAAAATTGTTCTCAAATTAGTAAATTCTCAGGGAAAATTTCAGCTAATTAAACAGGGCAGTGCAGTGAGAGGATCCAAGCTAAGGAACTTTTAGAGCCTGGACAGAAGAGAACTTGAAAGCAGCAAACAAATTTGCAAGGAGAAATGGAGTTTTGATGAACAGAATTCAGGTGTTACAGCAAAGTTCATTGTAACTCAGTTTTGTGGCATCTTGTCCAATAAGGAAAAATACTGTTCTGAGGATACTTAATAAAAAATACAATGGTTAGCTAAAGTGAGCCACAAACATAGGCAAAAAAAACCATTATAAAAATTCAAACAAATGAATTTTGTTTTGGGAGAAGGTGCTTGGAATGGAGCATCTGTGCTGTAGCTTTTAATGACTAAAAAGTAGCACCATATGTATTTATGGTAAATAATCAGATACATAATATTGCATGACACAAAGAATGCCCATGAGAAAAAGCATGCACAATCTATTTTAACACCACAAAGGCAATTTCCCACAAGAAATCATTGCAGATGATGGGGTTGGGAATGAAGGAGCAATCATGGAGGTGTAACTAGGATGGCAGAAGGACTTAGTCATTGAATACACTTAGAGAATGGTTGGTGCGAAGATCTAGTGGACTCAAAAAGCACTCTTAGAGGGTGGTGTATGTGTTGGTTGTGCAAAGTACCAGAAGTGTGTTTTCTTCCCACTTCATTTTATACTTGACTTTTCATTATTTGCTCTTTTTCACTGCTTTGAGTAAGAGATATCTGTTTAGATAAGTAGAAATTAAAGAATTGGACTTTAACGCTGATGTTAAAATAAAAATCACCTTGAAATAATTTAGACTTGACTGGAGAAGGAAATAACTTTGACTTTTTAAAATTACGTTTCCAGAACTAGTGGACCTGGATCCCGGAATAGTCAATTTGGTGTATTTTCCAGTTCTGAAAAAATTAAGGACCCACGACCACTTAATGATAAAGCATTCATTCAGCAGTGTATTCGACAACTCTGTGAGGTATTTCGCAATTTTAAATAGTTTAAGTTGTGAATATTCCCTTAAGTATTTTCCGATAATTTTCTATTTAAAATGTTTGATGTTTCATAAAACATATTATAGTTTCTTACAGAAAATGGTTATGCATATAGTGTATCCATGAAATCTCTACAAGCTCCTTCTGTTAAAGACTTCCTGAAGATCTTCACTTTTCTTTATGGCTTCCTGTGCCCTTCATATGAACTTCCTGACACAAAGTTTGAAGAAGAGGTTCCAAGAATCTTTAAAGATCTTGGGTTTGTATGTTATATTTCTCATTAGCCTGAAGAGATTGTTGGGATACAGAAGGATCAAACTCAATATATTTGTAAAGATTTTGAGTTAAAAGAAATAATATATTTTAAGGTGGTCACTGGAGGCAACATATGTAGGATAAATTTAAAAGGCAAAAAAATGACTGTTTAGAGGTTATTACTGAACTAGATCATAACTCTGATCTAGTGTTATGTCAACTCTGAAATGACAGGAATAGATAGAATGGGCTGAATACCACAGAACTTACAGAAGCAAAAAAGGCAGGATTGAAGGCCTGGTGAAAATGGGATGAGATGAAGTAAAAAACTGCTGAATACACAGTAAAGGAGTGGATTTGAGGATGAGTACATACATATGGCTTATTTGAGGTAGACTAAGTTGGAGATAACAAGTGATCTTTTTAGTAGAGAAGTTCAGCATATTGGTTGTAAATCAAGTTCTGCAGTATAGAGGATGCATGTACATAGTAATCTGCAGAGAAGAAATCAAAATCATTTGAGCATAAAATGACTAAGGACAGAATCTCAAAAAATCTTACTTCTGAAAGTTTTGGTATACACATGGAATTTTTTTAATGTAACTTCTTAATCTGGCCGTTATTTTTACCATATTAACATTAATTTTTTTTCTGATTTTTCATAGGTATCCTTTTGCATTATCCAAAAGCTCCATGTATACAGTGGGGGCCCCTCATACATGGCCTCACATTGTGGCTGCCTTGGTTTGGCTAATAGACTGCATCAAGGTATGTGACTTCTCATTATAAAATATATACATAGGAGAAGGGGTTTTTTTTCCTCAAGGTATTTCTATTTCTCTCCCAGTCTTTATTTTGCCAGTTATCTCAAAATTGCACCAGTTTTCATTTTTCAAAGAAAATTTGATTTTCAGTTCTTCCGACTGTTAATACATGATCCCAGAGGTGAGGGGAATAAAATATCACATTGGCAAGGAGATGATTTGTTTTATTGAGGTGTTACAGCTCAAGAAAAAAAAAATGAATTATTGGAAATTATTTCCCCCCTAACATTCATTTGTTTTGTTTTTTTCCTTTTTAAATTAAAATCCATATGCATTCATTTTCTCTCTCCTCTGTGATACCCATGGATACTGGGTCATCGCCCCTCTGTTCCCACCACCAGCTACCCCTGTTGTCACTAGAACACTTTACTCTTGTCTGCGTAAGCAGCTTGTGTCATTGTTATGTAATTAGGAGATAGCATTTCACAGGGATACAGGAGATCCTGGAGTACCTGCTGTGGCCTCTGTCAGGGAAGGACCCCTGGAGATGCCTCCAAGTCCATTACATAAGTTCACATCCCCAGCCTTCTTGGTTTGCTTGAGGTGGTAGAACTGAACACTAGCAGTGCAAGAACCAATGAGAGGCGTGTGTTTCTTGTTCTGATCTTCTTCCCACTTAACAGAAACCTGGAAATTTAACCACACTTAGGTTGGCCTTCTTTACTCCACTTTTTCCCTGGTATTTTTATGGCTTCTTTTTACTGTGTTTAAATCTTTAGTCATCTGCAGTTTATTTTCGCATTAAAAAAAAAAAACTTTATCTTTAAATGACTCATTCATATATCTGAATACCATTTATTGAATAACCCATCTTTTCCCCTCAGTTTTGTTTTTTGGTTTTTTTTTTGCTTTTTTGTCTTTCCTATGGAGATAAAATTGACAGAACTATGTAAATTTAAGGTGTACAGCATAATGACTTGATTTACATATATTGTGAAATGATTATCACAGTAAGTTTAGTTAACAGCCATCATCTCATAGATACCAAAAGAAAAAGAAAAAATTGATTTTTTTCCTTGTGATGAGAACTTTTAGGATTTACCCTTTTAGCATTTAGCAACTTTCAAATATGCCAAACAGTAATGTTAACTGTAATATTGTACATTATATCCCCAGTACGTCTTTACCTTGTAAGTGGAAGTTGTACCTTTTGACCTCCATCCAATTCCCCCCCCTTACCCCAACCCTCCATTTGGGTATCCATCAATATGATCTCATTTTCTATGAGTTTGTTGATTTATTTGTTGATTTCTTTTTACAATTTACATATTAAATGAGATCATACAGTATTTTCTTTCTCTGACACTTCACTTAGTTTGCTGCCTTCAAGGTCCAGCCACATTTATTGTCACATATGGCAGGATTTCCTTCTTTGTTATGGCTGAATGGTATTCCATAGTGAATATAAACAGTTTTTTAACCATTCTTCTATAAACACTTCAGCTGTTTCTCAAGACACAGCTACTGCAAGTAAGGCTGTGACCAACAGGGGTTGCAGTTACCTCTTAGAGAGTAATTTCATTTCCTTCAGATAAATACCCAGAAGTGGAATTGCTGGATCCTATCATAATTCTATTTTTAATTTTTGGGAAATATCCATACTTTTTTTCTACAGGGGCTCTACTAATTTACATTCAAGCCAAATGTGCCCAAGAATTCCCTTTTTTCAACATACTTTCCAGCCTTTATCTTGTATCTTTTCAATGCTAATCATTCTCACAGGCATGAGGTGGTATCTCATTATGGTTTTGATTTGCATTTCCTTAGTAGTGATTTTGAACACCTTTTTGTATACCTTCTGGCCGTCTGAATATCTTCTTTAGAAAGGTTTCTACTCAGGTCCTTTGCCATTTTTTAATTGGATTTTTTGCTTTTCTGCTATTGAGTTTATGATTTCTTCATTTTGGATACTAATAGCTCATGATATAAATGATTTGCAAATAATTTCTTATTCCATAGGTTGCCCTGTTCTTTTGTTTATCATTTCTTTTGTTGTACAGAAGCATTTTAGTTTGATATAGTCCCGCTTGTTTATTTTTGCTTTTGTTGTCAAATGCAAAAAAAATGTGTGCTAGGACCACTGTCAGGAAGCTTACCTGCTGTGTTTCTTCTAGAACTTTTATGGTTTCAAGTCTTACATTTAAGTCTTACATCCAATTCCAGTTTACTTTTGTGATTGGGGTAAGATAGGGGTCTAGTGTCATTTTACATACGAATATTCAACTTTCTCAGCATCATTTATTGAAGAGACTGTCTTTTCTCCATTGAGTATTCTTGGTTCCTTTATCAAATGTGAGTTAATCACATATGCATGTGTTTATTTCTGGGCTCTCTATTCTGTGGTCTCTGTGTCTGTTTTTAGGCCAGTATCGTAACTGTTCTATTTTTTTTATTATCATTGATACGCAACCTTATGAAGGTTTCACATGAGCAACACTGTGGTTACAACATTCATCCATATTATCAAGTCCCCCACACACACCGCATTGCAGTCACTATCCATCAGCGTAGTAAGATGCTATACTTGTCTTCTCATTACTTGTCTTCTCCGTGCTATACTCCCTTTACCGTGACCCACCTACATTATGTGTGCAAATCTTGACTACCATATTTTTATAATATAACTTGAAATTAGGAAGTGTTTCAAAATGCCTCCCACTTTGTTCTTTCTCAGCATTGCTTTGACTATTAGTGATCTTCTGTGGTTCCATATAAATTTTAGAATTGTTTTCTCCAGTAAAAAGTGCTATTGAATTTTGATAAGGGTTGCACTCATCTCTAGACAGCTTTGGGTAGTATGGACATTTTAACAATATTAAATCTTCTAAGCCATGAACACAGGATATCTTTCCATTTAGTTGTATCTTCTATTCTTTCATCAGTGTCTTGTAGTTTTCAGCATAGAGGTCTTTCACCTCTGTGGTTAAATTTATTCTTAAGTGTTTTATTGCTTTGATGCTATTGTAAATGGTGTCATTTTCTTTATTTCTTTTACATATAATTTGTCATTAGTGTATAGAAATGCTACTGATTTTTGTATTTTAATTTGCCATCCTGCAACATTACTGAATTTGTTGATGAGATCTAACAGGTTTTTTGTAGTACATTTAGGATTTTTCTATATATAAAATCATGCCATCTGCAAATAGAGATAACTCTACTTCTTCTGTTCCAATTCTGTTTCTTTTTATTTCTTTTTCTTGCTTCATCGCTCTGGCTAGGACTTCCAGTACTATTGAATAGGAGTGGTGAGAGTGAGCACCCTTGTCTTGTTCCTGATCTTAGAGGAACTTTCAACCTTTCATTGAGTATGTTAGCTATGGGTTTTTCATATATGGCCTTTATTATGTTGAGGTATGTTCCTTCTGTAACTACTTTGCTGAGAGTTTTTATCATGAATGGATGTTGAAATTTGTCAAATACTTTTTCTACATGTATAGAGATTATCAGTTTTTTTCTTTCACTCTATTAATGATATGTATCACACCTTATGGTTTGCATAGGTTGAATCATCCTTGCATCCCACAATAAATTCTACTTGATCATGGTGAATTATCCATCAATGTGCTGCTGAATTTGGTTTGCTAGTATTTTATTGAGAATTTTTGCTTTATATTCATCAAGAATATTGGCCTGGCCTATAGTTTTCATTTCTTTTAGTGTCTTTCTCTGGATTTTGGTCCCAGGGTAATTCTAGCCATGTAAGATGAGTTTAGGCATAGTCCCTCAATTTTTTGAATACCTTAAGGAAGACTGGCATTAATTCTTCTTTACATGTTTGGTAAAATTCACTGATGAATTCATCCGAACCTGGGATTTTCTTCACTGGGATATTTTTTATTACTGATTCTATCTCCTTACTAGTAACTGGTCTACTCACATGTTCTATTTGTTCCTGATTCAGCAGTATAGATTTCTAAGAATGTATCCATTTTTTCTAGGTTGTCAAGTTTGTTGGCATACAGTTGTCCATAGTAGCCTCTCATGATCTTTTGTATTTCTGTGGTATCTTTTTAATGCCTCTTTTGTTTATAGTTTTGTTGATTTGAATACTCTTTCTTTTTTTTCTTGGTTAGGTTAGCTAAAGATTTGTCAATTAGCTTTTTTTCAAACTAAGTCTTATTAATCCTTTCTATTGTTCCAGAATAGATTTTCAAAGATTTTTTTTTAAGTTTTTTTTATTTAGAATCTTTCCTTTTTTATTTGATGTACGTGTTTACAGTTATAAAGTTTTGGTATGTTGTGTTTCCATTATCATTTGGCTCAAGATAGTTTTTTTATTTACCCTTTAATTTCATCTTTTATTTGTTGGTTGATCAAGAGATTGATGTATTCATGAGTTTTCCAGTTTTTTTCTTGTTACTGATTTCTAGTTTCGTACCATTGTGGTCAGAGAATATATTTGGTATGATTTCTTCTTGAATTTGCTAAGACTTATTTTGTGACCCGACATATGATCTATCCTAGATAATGTTCCATGTATTTTTGTTTCCTATTACTGTTGGATAGAATGTTCTGTATATGTGTTTTGGGTGCATTTGATCTATACTGTTTTATTTTTTTTCTGTCTGAATGATCTCTCTGTTGTTGAGAGTGTGGTATTAAAGTCCCCCACTATTACTGTGTTGCTGTTTATTTCTCCTTTCAGCTCTATTAGTATGTGCTTTATATATTAGGTGCTCCAGTGTTGGTTACACAAGTATGTACAAATGTTCCATCTTCTAAATGACTCATTATCATCATTATATAATGACCCTCGTTCACTCATTTTACCATTTTAGTTTAAAGTCTATTTTGTCTGATGTAAGTATAGCTACTCTTGCATTTTACTGGTTACCATTTGTTTGAAATACCTTTTTCACCCTTTCACTCTCAGCCTTTCACTTTAAAGCTAAAGTGAGTCTCTTATAGACAATATATTTCTGGATCTTAATTTTTTATACATTCAGCCATTCTGTGTCTTTTGTTTGGAGAATTTAATCCATTTACATTTAAAGTAATTATTGATAGATAAGGACTTATTGCCATTTTTCTGTTTTGTAGATCCATTAATCCTTGATTTTTATCTTACTTTCTCCTTTTGTGATTTGAGGACACTTGGTATACTTTGACTTTTTATCACATTCTCTTGTAAAACTACTTCATGTTTCTACCTTGTGGTTGCCATGAGGCTTAGATAAAATATCTTAAAAATTATAACACCCTATTTTAAACTGATAACTTCAGTATACTCCTAAACTATAAACTTTTATTCCTCCTTTTTACATTTTAGGTTATTGATGCTACTCTTTATACAACTTTTTATATTGAGTTTGTTAAAAAACAATTAAACCAAGTAAATTTGAAGATCTACTTGGTTTTATTAAGTGATTCATGAATCAGGAAGTATCCTATCCAGCAAGTAGAGGAATGCTTCAAAGAGTTGTACAAAATGGAAGGTTTTTATGCATAGGAGGGTGGGGCAAAAAAGTTATTAGCAAAAGAAAAGATGAGAAATGTTTCAGCTGAGGTCACCCTACCTTAAGAAGAAGAGCAGGGAGTCTTATACAGATTACCTCATTAGTGATCAGAAAATTCTAGACTGTCAAAATGATTAAATTTTAAGGCTCAATAAGATAGGCTCTCAGGAAACTCAGTCATTCAATAATGTAAATGCTTCTAAAAATGACACTAAAAATGAATTTGAGAAAACATGAAAATTACATGTCTTTTGCATAAGTTTAATCAACTTAAATATGTTGTTTGTGTGCTAATTAGTTACATACTGCTATGAAAGAAAGCCCACCTTTATTTGATGATGGACATCCTTGGGGAGAAGAAACTGAAGATGGAATTATGCATAATAAGGTACTTTAGCATAACCATTTTAGTTATCTCAGTATTATTAACTATGTCACTATGGAAATTAATATATTCTTTGAAGAGCTTATTTTTCTCCTTCCCGGAAAACTTCTAAAATTGACTTTTTAGTCAGTGGATTTACTCTTGGAATCACATTGTAATTTCCTAAAATTAACTAGGCATGGAAATTGGAAAATGTTAACTCAATAAGTAAAAAATACAAGGAAATTGGAATTAAATCATAACAAGTCATTGTTATATGTATAGATGCAACATTTCTTTTCCTCCCCTATCTTTTAGAATGAAGATAATCAATACTAGCAACATAATTTCAGTAGAATTCTTTGTCAGTACAAAGCAGAATAGATTGGGTCTTAAAGTTTTGCATGTGGGGTTTTTTATTTGTTTTGGCCTGTTTAGTTAGGCATATTGCTGCTTAGATAAGAGTTACAATTTCCAAAAGTTATTGAAATAAAAATAAATATGTGGTCTGAATTGGTTCCAAACCATACTTTATTGGAATCTAAACTGTGTAACTAACCCCATTCTATTTCCTAAAATACACAAATTTATATATCCAAGTGACACAGACACCAACTCTAAGAAATAAATTTATCCTGTCAAGATTAAACATTTACATACTCTAGCATATGTAAAAGCCCAGTCACCATGCAGGTGCCTAAGAAGAAAAATTGTATTCTGCTTTATTTCTAATTCTTCACTCTTTAGAACATTTGGTATAAAAAGGAAATATCATCAATCCCATCTTTTATTACTACCTGGGAATAGATCAAAGATGTGTCATTGCTTTTTTTTTTTTTTTTAGACACCCTTTAAGTGATCAACATTAAGGATATTTTTTTTAAAGAATGACCATGTCCTTTTACTATTTCAGCAGTGATCCCTGCTGGAGAAGCAGTTAGAAAGCCTTCAATCCTCTCTCTTCAGAGAGTTTCTCCTTCCATTTTACACTATCTATACTTGACTAGATTTATTTGTACCTCCGTTTTCACCCAAATACAACACTATCTATTAAATATTAAATTTCTTGACATTCATCCTAAATGTTTAAACCAAAGTTATTCTTGCTATTTTAGCTATTACTTCAGATGACAGTATATAGGAAAGCACTTTGGAAACTATGCAATACTATTTTTAATCAAAAAGATTTATCAGAATATCTAACTTCACCAGATTCTGAGCCTTAGCTTTGTGAGTCCAGAAACAATTTTTTTTAATATTCAAAATTTACCAAGCTTAAGGAAACTGATTTCACTCTTTACAAATTCATAAGAGACTGATCTGAAATAGAATGAAAGTAAATTAAGTTGCCATCAGTGGTACACCTTTCCAATTACAGAAATATTTGTACTGCCTATTTATGGTATCCCTTCCATATCAACCAAATTGTAAGAAGGTTGCTTAGTAAGCAGAGAATCAGCACAAAGGGAATTGGTTTGTCTTGAGGGACATTTATTTCACCTAGGCTGTGGAAAATTCTGATCAGCCATCCCTGCCTCCTGACAAAGTATGCATCCTTAGTGACCAAAACACATCATAACTTAAAAAATAGTTACTTTCTCTTGGATAAGTATTACAAAAGCTAGTGTTCTACTGTTTAAAACTGTACTAACCAAGCCATTTTTCAGCCTCAAGTTACATTGTAATTATAGCTTTATTAATTATGTTCTGGTTTTCACAACTAGAGCTTGTCAGTTTAATTGGACTTACATGATCAGCAATTCATTTGTTTTTCATAAGGTAGGTTATCCTTAAAGATGAATTGCATTTTATGTTGAATTGTATTTATTAATAAGCTTCATTGTTTGACCTCAAAATTCTGAAGGTATGGTTTCTTTGACTATTTACCAAGTGTCACCTTCATCCCTATTTAAGTGTTCTTTACATTAGAAGTAGCAGACTGATTGCATCTCTGCAGCATAATTAATAATGTACCCTAGGTTTGTGTCTAATTTATAGGAGTTTCTGTAACTACTTAGTATTCCTAAGTCTTATTATAATTTTTTGAATTTAAACTTAAGTTTTCACTTACAAAATTGAAACATACTGAAGAGTCATGGCTTTGTTTTTTAATCTGCTTAACCCAATTAGCTGTTTTTGGACTACACCATAAAATGCTATGAGAGTTTCATGACTGGTGCTGACAGCTTTGAAGAGATGAATGCAGAATTGCAGTCAAAGTTGAGTAAGTGTTCTCATTCCTAACGTGCTTGGTTTTTGGTCATTTATTTAACTCTGCTCATGAATTGTAGCTTAGCTTAACATACCCAATGTTTATATGTGCTACTTAAAGTGCATTTGGATGCCCACTGATTTTTATCCTCATTGCCTAGTGGAAAGAAGTAATAGGTGAGCAGAAAGAATACTGGTGTTGAAGTCAGATCTGAGGTATAACCTCTTCCTGGCTGTGTGACCTTAATAAAGTACTTAATTCATCTAACAAAGTTTTTCAAGATTAGATGGCCATGTTTCTAAAGGATATTCCAAACACAATACCAGGAGCATAGAAAGCAATCAACAAATATTATTCCTCCTGGGGGACAATATCCCTGTGAGATTCTTGTTCTGTTATTTGAGAAACTAAAGTACCACTTACTCAAAAGAACTAAGGTCTCTTTTAAAATTTTTGGCTATAAGTTAATGGGCTTTATATTTTTTTTCCAAAGAAAGAAATTCTTTATTTTTCTATTCAGCTATAATCTAGTGCCATTCAGTATTTACTAACTTTAAAATGTTCCAGAGGTATTATTTTACATTGTTGTTCCTTTTATTGAGATAGACTTGTATATAAAATGCCAGAATGTTAGATAAAATAGATAAATTTAAGATATGGAAAGCTATTCCTCCCAAAACAATGGAATCAATCAAAACAGGAGAATTTATCATACAAAAGGTAAAAGCATTCCCTGATATTCCCATGAGATGTACCCTCCTGAAGAGTAACCAGGACAATTTCAGCTTCTCCCCATGAGAAAGCAAGCCAGATAAATGATGTTTTGTTTTAAAAGAAGAAAATTCATAGTTATCTAATACAGAAAACATCTAGTGAATTCTTTGGTATTTCTGTTTATAATTAAGCATAGAAGTTGTATATATTTATTCAAACAATGTTTATTATATATGTGCTGTATGCCTACCACCAGTTAGGCACCAAAGATACAGTAATGAATAAGAGATAAAAATCCCTGACCTTAATGAGCTTACATTATTAGACAGAGACAATAATCAAATGAACAACTATGTCAAATGGTGGTAAGTGCAACAGAGAAAAATGAAGTAGGGTAAGGAGGTAGAATATGTAGTGGAATAAAGGGAAGAGTTTGCTGCTGTAGAGGGTGGGATGTCTTCTACTGCTAGTGTTTTGAGCAGAAACCAAAAGTAAGTGAGGGCGAAAATCTGGGGAAGAATGTTCTAGGCAGATTTGAGACCTTATAAAGTTTTTGGGTTTTTGTCTCCAGAGGATGTATTTAATGTAGATGCTTCCAAGCTGGAATCATTAGCAGCAAAAAACAAAGCATTGAATGAACAGATTGCAAGACTGGAACAAGAAAGAGAAAAAGAACCGGTTAGTAAACTTGCTTATCGTCAATAGGTTTATACACTTCGCTTCTTTAGACTCTCAGGTCTCCTTAGAGAATATAAGCTACCTCTTTATCAAAAAAATTGTTTACTAGATGAACAAAATAAGCTTCTTAAAAGTTAATTTTTTTTTTACATAGGACAGAATTCGCAATGGAAACATGTTTGCTATCTCTGGAGCCTTGTTTTCCCTTGTGATCTATCAGTCTTGGACTAATGGTGTTCAGAGTATGATGAAAGAATCTTACCAATTTACATAAGACCAAAAAGATCTTTAGAACAAGTTCCCCATGTTATACACCTCATGGGAGCACTATTTATGAGAGGCCCTGAGTTTTGTAGTTAATGGAAAAGGAGTGGTAACAAGTAGGTTTATATAACATACTGTTTCCTAATGGCTTTTTTAAAAGCTAACCAGTAATATCCAGATATCTCATATGATTTTGTGTATTCTATTACTGAAGTGCCCATACTGTTCTATAAATAGCAGTTTTTAAATTCTTGTGCTTTTTCATTCTGACCCTTAACTTTCTCTATCCCAAACTGACTTCTTGAAAAGTATGTCTTAATTAGGTAATAACAGTAAAGTCCCTTTTTAAATCATTTGACTCCCTCTAAAATTGAAAGGAACACTCTAATTTACCTTTCTTTAAGCTTAAATAATATTGCTTTTAAGTGTGAAATAATTATGGATGAGGCTAACTAACTTAATTTTCTTTTCCTTTAAAGAATCGTCTAGAGTCACTAAAAAAACTGAAAGCTTCCTTACAAGCAGATGTTCAAAAATATCAGGCATACATGAGCAATTTGGAGTCTCATTCAGCCATTCTTGACCATAAATTGAGTGGTCTTGATGAAGAAATTTCTAGAGTAGGTAAGCACAACTAATGCTAAAAGAGGTCATTCAGACTGGGATGGGGGCCTGTGTGGGATTGGTCAGATACAGGAACAGCTTTCTCATCCTTATCTCTTTCTTTAAATGCTTAGTGGCAATAGCAGGCTGCCAAGTTTCCAGTGCTTTCTTCATTAGTTTTTCAAAGCTGCTGCAAGAAATTACTACAATTTTGGTGGCTTAAAACAACAGAAAGTTACCTGTTCACAGTTCTAAAGGCTAGAAAGAAGTCTAATACCAAGCCAGTTCAACTTCTTTGAGGACTTTAGAGGAGAATCCATTACTTGCCTCTTCCAGCTTCTGGTGTCTGATGGCATTCCTGAGTTACGGCCGTATCACTCCAATTCTGCATCCATCCTCACATTGCCTTCTCTGTGTGTGTCTCTCCTCTTTTATGTGTTAATTTCTCTCTTTCTACCTCTGTTAAGGCATTTAAGGCCCACCTAGATAATTTAACATAATCTTATCTTGAAATACTTAATGTAATCATATCTGCAATTATTTGATTGCCTTTTCCAAAAAAGGTGATGTTTACAAATTCCAGGACTGTATATCTCTGCATGGCCATTATTACCTCCTAATCCGCTATACCTTCTAACATGTTCTCAGGTACCTGGCTTCTTGAAGCCAAGAGGGACCTAACCTAAGAACAAATGCTGCCTGAATATAAATATATATTCTATTCTCCCTTGTAATTAGTAAACCAAATTCTTAACTCTGTTGGCATCAGTCTGCTGCAGTTGTCTTCTCCTCCATCACAACCTCTTACGCTACTCAGCAGCTTAAGCTGATTGAAAATGAGATGAAAAGATGCAAATACTATAGTTCTTTGGAGCAGAAACCCAACTAAAAGAAAGTTTGTTTATATCCAATGTGTTCCTAACCTTTTTTTCATAAGCACAAATCAATCTTAATCAAAAAACTCTGAAAATACTGTGGCACATAAAGTGATTGATACTTCCAAGGTGCCAGAAGGAGAGGAAAGGAAGGTATCTATAAATCACAGAGCCATTGCTAATTTCTTATTATAGCAATGTTTGTAAGCAATTAAATGAATATATCATAATATTTATAGTTTATCTTTCTTAATTGGAGTGTAATCCAGAAAATTTTTATCCACCTTTTCTTGTGAGAATTTTTTCCCAATAATTGCAAACTGAGTGAGAGAAAAATACTTGAGCAATCATTTCTATTCGAGTGATTTCGTTTGAGATAATAATTTGATAACTGTTAACCAGAGATATTTTTATTCTGAGTATTTTAACTTTCTTGATTATTTAAAGCCATTCATGGCCAAGAGTGAAAGAGATGTATCTAAACTCAAGATACTGTACATTGTGGGGTTTTTGTGGATTCCTAAACTTTAACTTAGACCAACCATTAATTTTGAGCTCAAGTGTGAAGCTCCCCAACTAAGTGCTACAAGTGGATTATAACAAAGCCAAGACCTTGATACTCCCAGCCTCATCCATTTACCCCAACCTGCTTAAATACATTGTCAGATCCTTTATAAGCTATGAGTCACAAAAGATTGGAAAACACTACTCTATATAATCCCAAATATATTTAATTTGATAATTACAAAGCATTGAATGAACAGATTGTAAGACTGGAACAAGAAAGAGAAAAAGAACCAGTTAGTAGACCTGCTTATCATCAATAGGTTTATACACTTCGCTTCTTTAGACTCTCAGGTCTCCTTAGAGAATATCAGCTACTTCTTTATCAAAAAATTGTTTACTAGATGAACAAAATAAGCTTCTTAAAAGTTAATTTTTTTTTACATAGGACAGAATTCCTCTTGGCATGATCATATGCTTTTTGTATGTACCATATTCTCTTGGTACAATACAGGCATACCTCTGGGAAACAGCAGATTTGATTCCAGACCACCTCACTAAAGCTAGTATCATAATAAAGGGAGTAAAATGAAGTTTTGGTTTTCATATGCATATAAAAGTTAGGTTTACACTATACCATTAGTCTACTAAGTGCATAATACCATTATGTGTAAAAAATCATAATACCTTAATTAAAAAATGCTTAATGGCTATAACCATAATCTGAGCTTTCAGCAAGCTGTAATTACTGATTACTGATCACAGATCACCATAACAAGTATAATAATAATAGTAATGAAAAAGTTAGATACTGCATGAATTACCAAAATGTGACACAGAGACACGAAGTAAGCAAATGCTGTTGGAAGAATGGTTCCAGTAGACTTGGTTGACACATGGTTGCCACAAACCTTCAATTTGTGAAAAACAGGCATAAAAAAGGAGAGCATAATAAAATAATGTATGCCTTGTATAGTCATTCTTGATCACAAATTTTGGTAAATGCACAAACAAGAACCTAACCACCAGGGTTACTTTGATATCTGATGAAATCACTGAAATGTAAATGTCAGTGAAATAAGAATAAACAGATGTATTTTATGTAAATATTTTTACATTTATCAAAAACTTGTGAATTTTCTAACTTATTGCAAAGAATCATGTAGGAGTATTGAAAGCATTTGAACTGTACATTTACAGACTGTCCTTCTAAAGTGTAGTGATTCTTAATCGTAATGTTTGGGGCCAATATTTTTTTTGTAGGTAAAACTTTCTGAAAACCATAGCCTGCCAATAGAGAAATAAGGTTCTAACAACTTTAATTCTATTATCTTTCCAGAATGTTATTTAAAAAGTGGGATCAAACAATTATCTAAAAAAGGGAAAAAATACATGTACATAACTTGGAAATTTAGACATCTTAATCAACTCTTAATGGCATCAATTTCTTTGTAGGAATTAAGGAACTTATATTTATTTTTTCACATAGAACTAGAATGTGAAACAATGAAACAGGAGAATGCTCGACTACAGAATATTGTTGATAACCAGAAATACTCAGTCGCAGACATTGAAAGAATAAATCATGAAAGAAATGAATTGCAGCAGACCATTAATAAATTAACCAAGGACCTGGAGACAGAACAACAGCAGTTGTGGAATGAGGAACTAAAATATGCCAGAGGCAAAGAGGCGGTATGTCATACCATTTCCAGAGTGGCAACTCAAAGCTGACCTTTGTAAAGGTCTATCCCAATTAAGAAGAATTAAGTGGGTAGAATAAATTGGCTAAAGAGGCCAAGTATTTTAGCATTGACACATCCCTTTTTGTCAGTTCAGTAACACTGCAGTTTATCTCAGTCAAAATAATTTAAGATAGCCTGTATTTTTTTTTTTTTTGTGGAAGTAGGGTTGATATACTACTGTCTTATATTAGTTTCAAGTATCATATAACACAGTGGTTCAGCAGTCACCCATATTATTAAATTCCCACCCCCTATAATGCAGTTACTATCTGTCAACATAGGAAGATGTTACAGAATCATGGGCTATATTCTCCATGCTGTACTACTATCCCCATGACCAACTTGTATTATGATTGAGAATTTTTGAACCCCTTTATTCCCTTCACCCTAGCCACACCAACCCTAACCCCTCTGCCATAGTAACCACCAGTCACTTCTCAGTGTCTATTAGTCTATAGCTATTTTGTTCTTTTTATTTTGTTTTCTTTTTATATTCCACAAAATAAGTGAAATCATACTGTATTTATCTTTTTATTCCTGGCTTATTTCACTTAGCATAATACCCTCTAGGTCCATACAGGTTGTCTCAAATGGCAGAATTTCTTTCTTTTTTATGGCTGAATAATATTCCATTGTGTATATGTACCATATCTTCTTTATCTGTTGATCTATTGATGGACACTTTGGTTGTTTCATATCTTAACTACTGTAAATAGTGCAGCAGTAAATGTAGAGGCACATACATCTTTTTGAATCAGGGATTTTGTTTTCTTTGGGTACATTCCCAGAAGTGGAATAACTGGGTTATATGGTCTCTATTTTTGAGAAACCTCCATATTGCATTACACAGTGGCTGCACCAATTGACATTCCCACCAACAGTGAAGGATGGTGCCCATTTCTCCACATCCTCACCAACACTTGTTATTTCTTATCTTTTGAATGGTGGCCATTCTGACTGCTGTGAGGTGCTATCTCATTGTGGTTTTGATTTTCATTTTCCTGATGATTAGAGATGTGGAGCATCTTTCCACATGCCTGTTGGGCATCTGTATTTCTTCTTTGGAGAAATGTCTTCAGGCCGTCTGCCCATTTTTTAATCAGGTTATTTGTGGGTTTTTTGGTGTTGAGTCATACTTAATTCTTTATATATTTTAGATGTTAATCTCTTATCAAATAAGTCATTTACAAGTATATTCTCCCATACTGTCAGTTGCCTTTTTGTTCTGCTGATGGTGTCCTTTGCTGTACAGAAGCTTTTTAGTTTGATGTAGTCCCACTTGTTCATTTTTTATTTTATTTCCCTTGCTGAAGGAGGTATGTCCAGGAAAAAACTGTTCATGCTTATATTCAAGAGATTTTTGTCTTTGCTTTCTTCTAGGAGTTTTATGGTTTCATGCCTTAAATTTATGTCTTCTATCCATTTCGAGTTTACCTTATGTATGGAGTTAAGACAGTGATCCAGTTTTATTCTCTTGCATGTAGCTGTCTAGTTTTCCCAACACCAGTTACTGAAGAGACTGTCTTTTCCCCATTGTATATTTATGGCTCCTTTATTGTATATCAATTGACCTTATATGTGTGGGTTTATATCTGGGCTTTCTATTCTGTTCCAGTCAATCAGTGGGTCTGTTCTTGTGCCAGTACCAAATTGTTTTGATTACCGTGGCTTTGTAATAGAACTTGAAGTTAGGAAGCATAATCCCCCAGCTTTATTCTTCCTTCTCAGGATGGCTTTGGCTGTTTGGGTCTTTTATGGTTCCATATGAATTTTAGAACTATTTGTTCTAATTCATTGAAGAATGCTGTTGGTATTTTGATAGGGATGCATTTAATCAGTAGATGCTTTTAGGCAAGATGGCCATTTTGACAAATATTAATTCTTCCTATCCATGAGCCCAGAATGTATTCCCAATTTTTGGTGTCTTTTTTAATTTCTCTAATGAGTGTCTTGTAGTGTTCAGGGTATAGGTCTCCTCCTTGGTGAGGTTTATCCCTAGGTATTTTATTCTCCTCAATGCAATTATAAATGGAATTTATAATTCTCCTGAGTTCTCTTTCTACTATTTCATTGTTAGTATATAGGAATGCAGCAGATTTCTGTGTATTAATGTTGTGTCCTGCAACTCTACCTAATGGTAGCCTGTATTTTTTAGTAGTGAACCAACAAATAAGCAAAAAAGTTACTAAGCCCATGAAAAAAATTTTCAAAAATCTTATGCATTTTATTTTCAAAGAGGATATGACCCAACTGTTTACCTATTCACTACTCAAACATTTATTTAACATCTATGTGCCTCTTACCTTGTTTTTAGAAAGGCTTTCTTGAAAAGATAACACCTAAACTGAATTGGGAAGTGGAAGGCAGAGTTAGTATGGCAAGTGTAGATGAGTCAGCAAACAAAAAAGCACATGGGAAAACTCAGAGAGAAAATAGCATGATGCACTGTGGTATCCTAAATTTTTCATGTGGCTGGAGCCTAAGCAGGGATGAGGGCAAATAGCAAAAGATGAGACTCAAGAAACAAGCACAGACAGATGGTAAAGATCCCTTTCATGTTTAGAAGTTTGGGCTTTATCCTGAAAGCTCCAAAAAGCCCTTAAAATTTTTAAACAGATATATCACATTTCAGAAAGATCTTTTTTTGCTAATATGAAAAATGGATTGGAAGGGAGCAAAATAAATAAGGATCTGTGGCAGTACTGTGGTGAGAATTACAAACTGGATTAAGATAATGCTTATGGAGATTCAAAGAAGCATGTAGATTCTGACTACTTAGGAGGTAGAGTAAATAAGATTCTGTGACAGAAAGGGACGCGGTCAGTGTCTGGCTGAGGCAGTGGGACAAGTGGTTAATACCACTAATTTGGGAACAGGAGACAAGGAGGGGTTGCCAGTCAGGAATGGGAATGGTATGCTGAACCTGTTGTGTCCAAGTGAAAATATTTAACAGGCTGTTGTATATGGGTCTGTTCCTTAACATAAAGTATCTAGGTTTGCAGTTAGATTTGGCAAAAATCCATACAACTGTGATTGAAGCCACAAGGGTGGGTGATGCGTAGTAGGAGGCTAGAACTCTGGGAACACCACCATCGTGGAGTGGACAAAGGCCCCTTAAAAGAGACCTAGAGAGAAACTGAGGATTAGCAAAAAAGGTCAAGAGAAGAGAAACTGAGAGAGAAAAGGGTTAGGAAGGAATTGGTGTCAAATGCAGTAGCAGGGTTCAAAAGTTTCTGTTCGATTCACTAACAGCAGTTGCTAGTGACCTTCATCAGAACCAAATTATTCGACTTCATTGTAATTTTTTAGGGAGTATATTACCATTTTAATCAACTTTGTTGAGAAAGTGGGCCTATCAACCATATGAATTACTAGATAATTAAAGTTTGTCCCTATTTTGGTTGGCAATCTTTTATAAATATTCTATATTCTGCCTTATTTAACTATACTCTATTTACTCTTTTAAATGCAGCTCTCAGTAGTCATGAAGTTTTTCTTAATGATTTAGCTTAGTCATGGACATGACACCAACATGTTCTAAAAGTAGTAAGTTAACCGGTTGTCTAGGGACATTTTTCTTATCAGATAGTTCCACAGCTGTCTTTTCTGCTATGTACACTATTTGTAGTCCTAAGAAAACTTACATAAGTTACGACTTTCTCTTTTTTTAAAGAAAGGTAAGAAAGCATGTCTTTAGCCTCTTTTATTTTCTTTTTTATAATGAAGAAAAATAGACTAGAGAATTCCAGACTTTAATTTTGGTTTGAAATTTTTTCTCCCACTATTTTCACTTACCATATTTGAACATTGTTAGGTATAGTTCTAAAATTTAAACCTCACTGAAAAAAATTTATTCTCTATCTTTTGCTACAAAAGTAATGGGGTTTTTTATCCTATTACTTCCAGTACTTTCCTTAGTATTTCTTATATATATTTATTATCATTGTTAAGATGAAAAAAGTAGTTCAAAGAAGCTGTGTCTGCCTAAGGGGGGAATACTGGTTTTTCACCCTGGTCGTGTTATAAAGTATATTATAGTCATAATGCAGATAGTTTCTTAACCATTTAATTGTTTTGCCTTGTTAAAAATCTGTGTTTTACACCTTCACATGTAATTCTTAATATGGAATGGATATTCAGTATGAACAGTCAGCATTGCCTCCTTTTTTGGCCCTGTTCCACCATACTTCTGCTTCACCTTAACCATCCAAACTCCCTCTTCCTCTTGACCCTCTTGGTAATCTCTTTCCCCATGTACTGAGAAGAAAAATATACATTTATAAGAAATGGGGCTGTTGGGTGATCCCAAGAATCTTTGAACCTAGAATTTGGTTAAAGCTATGTTTTAGCCCTGGATTTACCGCCACACACCTATCATGTCATCCATCTAACCTCGCATAGCCTCAGTTTCCTTATTAATAAAATAAAGTATGGTTAGACTAGATCAATAATTCTGAACTTAGTCACTTCAACAGGTATTAATGAATTATTTTTTGTTCTCAAACATTGTGTGGGAAAGGGGAAGTTAATGAATCTCTAGACTAGGTGAACTGTGAGTTTAACATGCTAAAATTAGGTGTATGAATGCTGTTTTTGACTTGGAGTATTAGGCTATGAAGAAAATTATCTGAGAAGTAGATAAGCAGCCTAATGAGGGACTAGAGTAGGGCCATGGACAGTGAGAAGAAAGCCTTTGGGTACTCATAAGAGAGATTAAAGAATAGCAGCAGAATGCAAAAGTACAATATAAAGATTTCATCCATCATCTTTTTCTCTGGACCAGTTTTTATTACACATGCCACCTCTGACTGGTAGTAGGTTTCTGGAGCTCTGTGTTGAAATGGACATTGAAGCTGTATCTACACTCATCAGGAAAGAGTGTGGTCAGTTTTCACTGTCTACATTGGTTGTAGGAAGGAAAAATATTTGCTCTCCCTGCAGTTAGACATGATAAAGTGCAGGGGCTTGTGAGAGCTGTTGAAATGCTCATGAAGAACAGAAGGAACAGAAAGACCTTTTAATATAAGGACAAATAGACTTATATAACTTAATAGTTCCTAGAGAGCTACCATATTACAAATGATTGAAATTACTTCCTGATCAATTAGTAAGAAATCTTACATATAACATGTAATACCTAAGTAGTATTGCTTTTGAGACCTGGTAAATTTTTAGAAATTGCATATTATTCAAGTTTTGATGGGTATACTCTTGCCATTGCATTCCTTCACTCAGAGTACTCATTTTTATGGATGAATAACATCAGTGAGAAACTAAGTATGTATTAAATGGAGGAAGCAGTATGACAGTAAATTGCCTAGACTGCAAATTCATTTACTTAATCAAATACTAAGTATCTGCTAAATACCAAGTACTGTTCTAGGGGCTGCGGATGTAGCTGCTTTCATGCAGTTTATATTCAAGTAGTAACAATGAACAAATAATATGGCAGGTAGTAGTAAGGTCCATGAAGAAAACAAAGTAAGAGGATAGAGAAATGGGGCAGGGGCAGCAGGTGGAGGCTGTATTAGAGGGAAAGCCTTTCTGATGATGTGATTTGAACAGAGCACTGAAGGAAGAGGAGACCAAGAAATGTGGAATATGTTACTAAAATGTTTTTTATCAAAATAGTTAAAATAACATTTTGAGAATTAAATTATTACATTTCACTTATTTTGGATAAATGAAACATTTTATAAACTGATAAAACCAAGGTTTTTGTTTTTCATTTATCATATCTCTATCTGGCACTTTGAAAAATGAATTTTAGTTAATATCTAAAAATGGACTCTTATTTCCAACTATTTATCAGATAAATGGAAGAACTATTGTATATTACTTAGTAATTATATATTCTTAAAACTGTCTTAAAATTGTCCTATAAATTTAGTGTGAATAAAATCTTTCTTTGTATTTTAAAACTGCCATCCTTACTACTAAAAAATACTAAATCATTAAACTACATATTAAGTATAATTTTTATATAAAATAATAGAAATACTGATTGAAAACCACATGGGATAGGGCTGTTTGGGTTATTTTTTTAATGTTTCTTTATGTGTTTTCTTCCTACAGATTGAAACACAATTAGCAGAGTATCACAAGTTAGCTCGAAAATTAAAACTTATACCTAAGAGTGCTGAGAATTCCAAAGGTTATGACTTTGAAATTAAATTTAATCCTGAAGCTGGTGCCAACTGCCTTGTCAAATACAGAGCTCAAGTTTATGTAAGTAATCGTGAGTGCTTCAAAAGGCTTTTAAGTGGTATGATTGTTATCTCATTCGTGTATTTGGTTCATGATATCTGGTATCATGTATGCATAAGTAAGAGTTTAAACTGCAATATATCCATAACTCAGGACATACTGAGTCAAAGTCTAAACTGTAGAAATATAACTCCGAGACTTTTTCTTCTTCATAGTAGTAAAAATCTCTCTATTGTACCTTATCTTTGGAATTTTAAAGCCATTTTTTCCTCTCTACCTACTTTATTCAACTATCCAAAAAAAATTCAACTACATGTGAAATAGACACTAGTATTATAAAGATAAAAATGACCCAACCCTTGCTCTCAAGTAGTTACTAGTCTCCTCAGAGAAACAGAAAGACATAAAAAAATAATTGCTACATATCTGCTTTATGAGTAGTCTTTACAAGGTAATGGTAACAAGATCAAGTCTTCCCAGAATTGAGGGGAAAAAAAAAAGAAAAGTCTCCACAGGGATGGTGAACCTAGAGCAAAAGCATGATAGGTGAGCTATTTATGGATGTGGGTCTGTGGGAAAAAGTTCAAGGCACAAGGACCCACACGCAGGTTTGGAATATAATAGATCAATAATGAGAAAGCTGCACCTAATTTTTAAATAATGGCCAACGATGTAATTTGGGAAAGAAAAATTTTTAATTGTTCTATTGCACCTTTTGACTTATTCACAGACTTTAGTATTTTAGTGCTAACCCCCAAAAGAAATGTCAGTTTTCAAAATACTTAGTTTTTGAACAGAAGAATATCAAAGTCTAAAGCTACGCACTTTTTTCCTTGAGAAACATTCATTCATTTGATATATTTTTCATCGAATACATACTATGTTCCATGCCCCCTAGGTTCTGAAAATAAAATACCCAGGAAGATACAGTCGTGACTTTCCCAGAGATTACAGTTTATTGGTAAACAGAATTTGATTAATAAAGCTTGACTTATTTTCAGTAGGAAAAAAAAATGCATCCAGTAAACACGTAGTCTTTTACTGAATTGTTTCTTAAATAATAACTAGGTAGGTGGGTGGGTGGGTAGGCAGTCAGGCAGCAGTTTATTCATCATTATTTTGAGTAGTTTGACTTGGCTGGTGCAAAAGAATAATTATCTGAATCAAATCACTGTAGAAAAGATCAGCCAGCGCAGAAATAACTTACATGCTCAGAAAAGAAGAAAAAGTTTTTCTTTGCTATCTGGAAGTAATTTTACATTGCTTAGTAAAACAGTAATAGAAATAGCACTAAAAAGGTGCAGCCCCAACTGTTTTAAGTCACATATGGAGAAAAGCTCTTAAAGAGATTAAATAGGCCATTGCATCTTTAAAAAGAAAAGCAGCCAAAATTAAAACTCAGCAGGGACTTTAAAAGACCTCTGAAAACATAGGAATGTGAAGGGTTTTCTTTTGGAATGATGAAAACGTTTTGGAACTAGAGGTGATAGTTATATAACAGTGCGAATGTACTAAATACCATTGAATTGTACACTTTAACAGTTAATTTTATGCTAAACTCACTTTAACTTTATTTAGTTTAACCACTTTAAAGTATGAGTTGCATCTAAATTAAAAAAAATTATGGGAAACAAAGAAATACTTTGTTGAATAAAACCAGTAAACTAGAGAGTACATGTAAGAAATAACAAGCAGTATGAGCTTCCAAGTTGGTAAACATGTGGAGATGCAAGAAAAGTGACACTCCCCAAGTGGGGAAGCTCTGTGTGCCTTCCAAATACCTTGCTTTATTTGTAGAGCAGCCCACCCTCCAGGCCCTCTGCAGAGGTGTGTTGGGATCTTCCTCATGCTGTTTGCTGCCTCAGCATCCTGCATTGCATGACTTGCTCTGCCAGTCCCTGCTGATGGACATTTGCCATGTTTCAAGTCTTTTGCTATGACAATGGAGTTCCAATGAATGGCAAAAAAAAAAAAAAAAGATAGAAAAAGAAAGATAATCATAAGACTAAATGGTTGAAAAGGATTAAGAGAAAAATGATGCATCTGGAGAACATAGCATAAAAATACAACCTACATATAACTTGTTTTCAAGAAAACAAGGATACTTACAAATGTTTAAGTAATAGCAGTGAATTTTTGGAATAGATGAGCAATTCTAAAATTTTGCAAGTATTCAAAACCAAAAGCAAGTGGCATTGATATAAAAATTATATTAAATTAATTTTATTTTCTTATTGATGGTATATTAATAGATTAAAAATATGCCTTCATTTTTTTCCCCAAAAGTGGCTCCTCCTCTCCCAATGTATAGATGCCTCATGAGAGAGATTTTGTAACTACATATGCCATATGTAACTCACATTCCTATATGTTTTATAGGTACCACTCAAGGAACTCTTGAACCAAACTGAGGAAGAAATTAATAAAGCTCTAAATAAAAAAATGGGGCTAGAGGACACTTTAGAACAAGTAAGTGGTGAAGCATAGAATCATTAAAAGCAAAAATAAGATTTTTAAAACTTAAATGTGATTTGTTGTTTCTGATTGCTTAAGGGATACGTTTTTAATAAAATATAAAAAATAAGAGTTGGGTACACCTTGACTTAGAAATATTTGAAGTGATTCTTTAAGTAACTTAAACATCTTAGGCTTCACATATCATTGATGATGAAATGATATGAAACAGTAAATTTACCTTTTTTTTTTTTAATAGAGAATTGCCTCCTTTACCTTCAGATAATTTAATATCTCCTTTTATATGAAAAGGGATTTGAGGTGTCTACCTTATATTAGAGACTCACTCTGGTAAAGTAGAGATTTCTCTTTACCAAATTTTTCATTCTGGACCATGGAATTCGGGGGGTACTCAAAATTAAGTATCTACAAAAGTCTATTTCCAAAAAGTAGTTTTCAGAAAGTTCCTGCTTCTGAGATATTTGAAACATAATGTCACCAATATCCCTGAGAAAACACTACTATCTATTCAATAACTGTTAAGAGTAAACTTTGTTATAGTTGAGTAAGAAAAGTTAAGAAGGTACTTCTCAAACACAAACAAAAGGTATTATTTATATGATACCAAACAAAGGAAACTACCAGCTCTTCAAGACCTATTATGTTCTGGCATCTCAAGATTTCAAGTTACTTAAAAAGTCCTATCTTTTCTCAGAATAGAAATTTGTTTATTTTTTTCTCCTTTGGAAATAAAATCTGTGCATTTCAAAAATAATAATGCAAGAACCCACTTTTTTTAGTATTCACAAATTTTGCCAAGACTTCTTTGTACTATAAAGAATTTTTCCACTCCTCAAAAAAGCAAAAATTTGTAACATTAAATAAGTGAGGAGTTTCATGGTAATATTATTGTTATGATTGGGGTTCTGTAACATGGAAAGAAGATAAGGAATCAGGACTACCCTAACAGGTGCTCCACAGCTGTAGTGGTTATTTGAGGAGAAGTCTTTCTTTAGTCTGCTGTAGTTTGATTTCTCTCTTTGGTTGAAATGGGCACTCAACCTAGACGCTCAAAAAGGTGTGACTTCTAAGCAGTAGGAACCTGTGACTGAACCATCTTTCAAACTTAGTTGAAACCTTTTAAAAGCTGTTGACAGGAAAATGTGGGGGTGAGAGGAGGGATTATAAAATGCCTGCTAGCTCATTGTGGGCTACACCCTATGTTAATCTTCTGAAAATAATGTAACTAAAGTTTATATGAAATATAAACTCCCATTTGGAGAATAAAGACTAACATGCAGTTTTGCTAATCAGATTTGCATTTTTGCAAAACCCTTTTGAGCATTGAAAAAAGTGACTTTGGGGGAAAGCTACTGAAATTGTTAAGAAGTTAAACCAAAGTATTACACTAGAAATACGGGAAAGGGGACAGATTTAGGAAATGTTGAGGTAGAACCCTAGCATTTCCTGGCTGACTGAAAACTAGGAGGGAAAGACTGTCCACAGTGACTTCCACTTTCCTGTTGTGGGCAACCAAGGGAAGGAAAAAGTGAGTGCAGGGAGTGGCCAGGACAGTGCAGGAGCCATTGAGGCATCCACAAAGCAGGTGCAGCAATAAATGCAAAACATAGGAGAGAGATTGGATCTGAAAATACAGATTGTAGGGTCTTTACCATATACATGGTGGTTGAAGCCAGGAATGAGGGATACCTCTTAGAATTTGTAGAGAAAATAGGAGAGGATTGAGTCTTGAGAAACAACAATACTTAAGGGATTGGCACAATGAAGGAGATTCTGGAAATAACACTAAAAGAAGTGGACAAAATAGTTGAAGAACAATCAAGAGAAGAGGATATGCTATAAAAGTCAAAATAGGGAAGACCTGGCAACTACAGAAAGAGATATTGATATACTATAAAGACAAGGGGAATTTATTTGAATTATGAAGTATACAATGTAAACAAAAATCTATATTTAAAACGTAACACAAGTCTAGTGTAACTGTCAGTCCAGTATGACAAAGACATCAGAAAAGAAGAAAAATTAAACTAGTCACACTTATGAATATAAACATAAAGATTAGAATTAAATATTAGCAAATGAAATTTATTCAGCAAATTTTTTTTTAAGAGTCTGCCATGTGCCTGGTACCATAATAGATGTTGACATTATAGTATCTGCTTTGTGAACTCTATTTCTAGTGGGAAGGTGGGCGTGAAAACAGTAACTTTCATCGTAACCCTTTTGTAGTGTAAATACAGCATGCTGTGGATTCTCATAGTACAATCTAACATAAGCACAGTTCTTTCTGAAGGAAGTGGTGGCTGTGCTGAGTTGTAAATAACAAGTAGGAGTTGGCCCGTGGATACCCAGAAGGATACACACACAGACCCACGCACCTGCGTCTGAAGGCCCAGAGACCAGAAAACAAATCACGTTCGCAAATTACCATGAGTCTGAGTAGGATAAGGGAGAAGCCTGGAGAAAGAAGAACCTAATTCTGAATGAGCGCATCTTTTCTTACTGGTTGAATTTTTATGCTATAGGCAGTGGGAGCCATTGAAGATTTTTAAGCCAGAGAATAACCCCTGTGTATTTTAGTTTGCTCACAGTGTTGGCATTTCGAAGAATAAGTTAGAGGTACATGAGACTAAGAGACACGCCAATAAAAGACCTAACAGTATCCTGAATGATAAATCGTAAAGACCCAAACCAAGGCTATTGCAGTGAGGATGAGAAAAGAGATTTAAAGATTGAAACAACATAATGTGTTAGTCCGTTTGGATGTGAAGGTGAAGGAAGAGAGAGGAATTAAGAATGTTCAGGTGTCCAGCTTTGGTATACAGTGTTAAAAAAGGAAAAACCACTCGTGACACTTCTTAAAGGCAGTAAGACAGATGTTTTTCAAGGAAGGGCTATTATAGTGAGGTTTTGTAGTAGGCAAGAAAAATTGGGCTCATATCCAAACACAACAAAGAAAAGTGGGAATTCAAAGGGGAGGGTGGTAAAAAGTGGGTGGAAATTACTTAGGGAATCTCAGGGTAAATAGAGATTCTGGCTCAACCAACCTAACAGGGTTCATGCTGAAGGCAGGCCAAGGTGATCAGACATCACCTGGGCAGGTGAGAGGGTGGAGGATGAGGAACCTGATCTGATAGTAAGGATACAGGATTCTGATTAAATTGACTTAGCAAGAGTCTTGCTAAAATTGAATAATGCAGAGACAAACACAGGAGTCCAAAAATCAGCTTCATTGAGAAGTCAGAAAAGCCTGAGTAGTTTGGTCAAGGAGCAAATCTTTGTCAGTGGTGATATTCTAGAACCTTGATAAAGAATACAAGAGAAGGGTTATAGAAGAGAGAATTCCAGGTTGGGATATGGCAAGTTTCAGATCTCTGGAACATCAAAGTGAAGAATGTCCAGTAGGCAATTGCAGGTTGGAGATATGTAGCTATAGATAGATAGAAATTAGCATGCAGGTAATTAAAGCCAGGAGATATCCCAGGTGTGACAGAGACAGAGCTCTCCCAAGTGAGCAAATGAGAATACAGCCAAGATCAGAATCCTGGGAGAACATCCACCACCATAGTACAATCAGAGAAAGAAAAGTGATGGAATTCCAGTCTGGTAGTGGCTTCTGTCTTCTCCATGACAGAAGAAAAAAATCATCTAAATTATGTAATTAATAATATCTTTGATTATAAGCATTGTGAGAGCTCTTTATTGAAAGAAAGAAAAGAAACAAGCAAAGTAGCCAAATATTAACAGTGATTCTTTTAGGTTCCAGAATTATTGGTGATTGTTGTTTTCTTTAATCTTTCCCCTACTTAATATAATGTAAATATGTATTTTTGTAATCGGGGGGAAAAAAATCCTTAATTGATGAAACTTTAGTAAAACAGACATGAAAAGCAGAAGCTGCTCCAAAGATAAGTCAAAACATGATTTTGACCAAATATGAGGGCCTACTGGAAGTTCTGGCTCTTTGGATGTCCACTGGTCTTACCAAAGGTGAATTTAATAAACAACTTGTTTAACTTAGTTTAATTTACTTCAGAAGTAACATATATTTACAATGGAAGCAAAATTTATAACTCAGTAACTCTAGTCTTTAAAATAATTTGAAATGCAGGTGGTATAGAAAAAGTCCTTGAAGTTAAAACATCTAGTTTTAAGGTCTGGGCATCTGTGAGTACATGATCCTAAGTAAAAGCATTCTTTCCCGTCCATTCTTCTCACTTGTAAAGTAAGAGACGAATGACCCTTACAAGGGCATATTGCTGGTTGAATGAGAAGTCTATGCAAGTTTCTGTATTAAATGTAGTGATTTTGCCATTCTATCTTCTGGCAAATAATAATAGCTTCCCTAAATTTTTACCAAAATATATACATATAATCGTTTCATGTATGTATAGGATCATCCTTTTTAAGAAGAATGTCAGCTTATTTACACATTTTATTATTTTCTATTTCCTGCTGGAAATATTTTCCTCTTGGTCTTGCTGAAAAACATTACGTATTAATTATTGGTGTCAACTGGTATCAGCACTTGTCAACAGTAAATGAACTTCAGAAACACTTTTTTTCTTCAGTTTTGGTTTCAACAGATCGTAAAGCTCAAGCTTTAACAGAATTAAATGTAGTCACTTCATTACACTTTGGAAGAGTGCATTGGCTCAAATCAATTAGCAAACATTATCCAATAAAATCAATATGAATAGTCGCTTTAACATCCTAGAAAATGAACACACAAATGGAAAGAAGGCAACTAACATAAGTAAAGCCTAAATAAAGCTAAACATCAAAACAAGAGAGTAGACCAACTCATACTTATTAATAAACTAACATAAAAACAGTAATATATATAATATGTAATATATGACAGCTTAGAAAGCACTCCCCCAAACATAATTTTCCTTGAAGTTAACCCCTTTTTGTGGAGTAATGAATTTTTAGGTCAAATGATAGGTGAAAGTCCAAAAGGACTAGATGAAATAACATGGTTGAGTTAATTGATAGTATAAAAGTTATATAACTTATTTAAATTTTTTTGATGTATAGTTGTGATTTCTCAACAAACTTTTATTCCCCAAGTTAAATACAATGATAACAGAAAGCAGGAGAAGTGTAAGAACTTTGAAAGAAGAAGTTCAAAAGCTGGATGATCTTTACCAACAAAAAGTTAAGGTAAGAACTTGGCCATAGTTTGTATAGGTTAGCCAAACCTATGTCATGACTGACTAGGCACCTGTTCTGACATAAAACAAATCTTTATGCTATATCCTGTAACCTGTGTTTTAGTGTAGCCTTCTCTTCTAAACTGTTCTGTAAGGGTTCTTTTGTTCTTTTAAAGGACTTGTTTCTGAAATTGGATCTGTTCCATTAATAGTTTATACTTGCATTTGTGAAAATTTTTCATTTGACCTGTATTATATTTAGAGCCTATACATTTTTTTAAGTGTGAAATTTTTAGAAAATATACCGCAATAATATCCTACAGGTGAAAGTTTGAGGCACTTGGTAATTTTGTTTTTCATATATCCTCCATGACAATACTTGAGTTTATGCTCTAAAGTACTTTTAAGTGAAAGACTTTATCATATTTCACCTTGAGAAGCATGAGAATTGACAAAACCTACTTTGCCTATACACAATTAGCACATATGCGAAATAATGGCGGTATGAAAGTTACCCACATTTTGACCTATAAAAGCCTTCTTCAGTGCTCATGGAAAAAATTTAAACCAGAGTATCATAAAATTACCAGTGGTGCAGAATTTAAAATATGAATTCTAAAAAGGTCTGTGAAAAGGTCACATGTTTACAGTATGAAATGTCCAAAGGAGCATTTTAAAGTCTCATGTGTGAAGCATACACACCCTGAGAATACAAATGGTGAGGCATCCTGGTTTTTTTAAATGCTTTACATATATGTTTTTAAATCCACCTGGGATATATAGAATGTGAATATCTAAATCCATAACCATGACTTTATCCTGATAGGAAGCTGAGGAAGAAGATAAAAAATGTGCCAATGAGCTGGAGTCCCTGGAGAAACACAAGCACCTGCTGGAGAGTGCTGTTAATGAGGGCCTCAGTGAAGCTGTGAATGAATCAGATGCTATTCAGTGGGAGTAAGTTCATGTTACCAAGACTGACATTTATGTTCAGTTTAATTATTTAACATTTCTGTAAAACTAGATCTGTGTTTATTAAATTTCTGTTACAGAGCTATTTGGGGACAGGGTGTGGTGAATAGAACTTAAGCAGAACAGCTTATAACTTGAACTACTTTGCCTATACAAATATATTCTGCTGCTGTTATAACTCTTGCCCCCGAAGAAATCATTCAGTTTCAGATCTACGTAGTGAATGACTTCTAATTCCTGAAAACAACATAATATTTTAAATCAATTCAAATAAGTATGTTAGCACATTTTTTAAATCCACTAAGCTTTAATAAACTCCACTAAGCTCATATTTTTAACATGTTTCCTAGAAACTACATGTTATATACTAAACTATAATTATACTATGAATTGTGTAGTCCATCTGCTATAATACAATATGTGCCTTCATAATAATCACCACACTGCAAAATCATACAATAAAAATCACAGAACTCATAGGAAAGTTGGTTGGGTTGGGAAACTCATAGGAAAAAATTCTGCTAGGAACATGCATAAACAAAAGATGGGAACCTAATAAAAATGTTAGCACGGCTGTACATGTATTACATAGTTAAGAAATACATAAATGCTGCAATAAATATGATACTCTACCTTAAAAAGACCTGAAGTTTTTCTGGGGAAATGGGCATTCAAGGAGTTACAGCTTATGCTTTATCGAGAAGAGGTGGAAGGAGGGCTCTCTCAAATCAGATGGAAAGTTGTAACACCAGATGTGGATACTTGGGGCTTTTCACAATCGCAGTGAACTGAGGGAGCTGGTGCACATTTGAGTTCTGTGTTTATATGTATTTTGTGTATTCCTTGACATCTTAATTCAGCTGAGTGCAGTTTTCTGCATTCACCTAGTGTTTCTGAAAGGACATTGGCATAAGCAAATGGGAAATTTGCTGTGTTCAAATTGCTACCTAATATATCAGTCCAGTTGGAATAAATATGTTTCCATACAAGGATTTTGGCAGAATTGACTGTATATTGTGTTACATTTCTTAGAAGTTCTTCATTATTAAATTGTACATTGTCAAGTTTTCCCTATTGGTTTCCCTTATAAAAAAAATTAATAGGAAAAATCGTAGCCACACTAATTATTTTAAAAAATGGCATCCTTCCTTAAAGCATAGTCCGCTTGCGTGGTATAATTCTCTTGTGCAGCCTGTATAAAATCAGTATACTGAATAATCTGTAGGCTCTAAGTACATTTATATTAAATAGGCTTTTTTAAGTCTTAATTAAGTGGCCCTCAAATAACTAAAGAAAATCTTACTACTCTGAGGTTAAAAGTATAACCCTTAAGAAAATCACACCTCTTCATTTCCTGATTTGTAGCCTAGAGATAGGAAACTCAGTTGAAGGGTTTTTTGGCTTGCAGTTTTCATTTTGAATTTGAATTTAGATGCTGAAAGGTAAAACTTCTACTCCTCCATTGAAATGTATTTAATGTATTGCCCCTAAAGGCAATTAAGTTTATAATCATTTTGGAGAGACTCAAGAAGACCATTTGCTCCCAAGCTTTGTATGTTAAAGCATTAGGTTTGATGCTGGTTTTTTTTGTTGCCTGCCAAATATCTTTGAGAATGTTTTTATTTCTGTTTGAATGATTGAGAGTTGAACCACTGTGACTTATACATAGAACAAATACCACATATGCCATTCACAGCCTGTTTTTTTTTTTAATATGAAAAAGAAAAGTGAGCCAACTAGAACAGATATATTAGGTTTTTTCCCCAACTAGAACAGATATATTAGGTTTTTTCCCAGACAACTTAAACAAGAGTTTTTACTCTACAGGTACCAACTGGTTGTGCAAACCACAACTGAAGAAAGACGAAAAGTGGGAAATAACTTGCAGCGTCTCTTAGAGATGGTTGCTACACACGTGGGGTCTGTGGAGGTAAGTTCTTTCCAACATTCTAAAAAAACTTTTTTAGATATATTTCTATTTTGTTTCCTCAGAAATTAAATGATAAATTTTATTTCTGTGGAAAATATGATCTAGTAAAACTTTGTCAGAAGAATCCTGTTTAGCAGTATAGTAAGGGGCCTTTGTGCCTTTTAAGAAGTTAATCTGTTTTGTTCACATGAATGCCATGCAATGGTATTTATTACATCAACAGTGTATAATGGTGTTGTAGCAGGGCACATTCCACATATGTAAAACACATTAGTACATTCAAGAGTTCAGTAAGATATGAAAGAGTGTATGGTATGACAAATATTTTTCCTTTCTGTTAATTTCATATGAACACAGAATAAAGTATTTCTGAGACCTGAAGTTTATCTTTAACCCCATCATTTGCATAGCTTGAAAGCTCAACAGTATAACTCTTCCTCCAACCTGCTGTACAGAGCCCAAAGCTAAGATAAATTGTTAAACTCTAAAACTCCTGAGTAATTTATGGGTAATAATGTATTTCCAGTTGTGAATGTTTTAAGGGAAAAAATTCATATCACATTAATAGGCTTCCATTTATTGAAAACAGAGCATGTGACATCCTACTTTCCCTCAGCTCTCCTGAGAGGCACTGAGCTGCTGCTTTCCTGCCCGCCTGTGCTCTTCACTGCTTAGTGAACTTAGAAACGTTTCTTAGAACTAAGAAATGCATCCTAGACATCGCATCAGAAAACCTGGATTCTGCCAACTTTGTCCTAATTCAACCACTTAGTGGCTCTAAACCTTTCACAATTCCTTCAACCAGTAATGTTCATCTAAACCACAGACCAAAAATGATTTGAGTGATTATTTTCTCATTCTCCCAAGGATGCCATTATAATGGTTCCATTCTAGATGCATGAGAGAAAAGTCTATTCATAACAGACAATGGTTGACCTATATTGAGAAAATCTGCTTGTATGTATCATATTTATTTCTTTAAGTCTTCATTTTCCTTATATCTGAAATTTTCTAGATAGATTACTGTTACTTTTTAGTTACTTTCTGTATAGTTCAGTGGTGCTCAGTAAGATCAGACTGAATTCAGAATTTACTGAGTACTTACTCTGCACTATGCACAACTAACAATTAGCCAGTAAAGTATGGAAGCAGCACAGAAACTCAACTGATCAACATTAAAACTTATGTGGAGAAATTTTTAAAGTAATAAAATTGGACTAAAGAAAACAGGAATTTGGACCCCTGGTATCTTTAGATGGTATATTTTCCTATGGGACAAAGTGTTGCTTTGAGCAGTTCCTGGTTGGAGTCCCATATAATGTCCTCTATGCACCTTGATGTTCTAGACCAGGAGATAGCGGACTACAGCCTGCCGGCCACAGCCTGCTTTTATAAATAAAGTTTTATTGAAACATAACTACCCATGTCATTCACTTCTGTACTGTCTCTGGCTACTTTCCCACTACAACAGCTGGGTTGAGCAGCTGCAACAAAAACCATTGTGCCTGAAAAGCCTAAAATAGTCATTATATGTCTGTTTATAGAAAAAGGTTTATGACTGCTATTCTGGATGCCTATTTTCCTGAAAAAAAAAAATGTTGGTTTTTTTTTTTGTCTGCTTAGATGTTCCAAAAATTATTATCAGCATATAATAACTAAGACATTATAGTATGGATGCATACAAACCAATCTCTCTGTTTAAGTCCAAAAATAGATGCATGAGCAGAGATAGGAAACCAACATGAGAGAGGTAGTATTACAGAATAACGGGGTAAAATGAAGTGTTCGATTAATGGACTTGGATTCCTACCTTAAACCCTAGACAGAAATCTATTCCAGATGGATTAAGAAATTGATGTGAGGCTGCATTTTTAACTTTTAGAAGAATTACAAAACACTATCTTTATACCTCAGGAGTTGTAGAGGAGTTCTTAAATTAGACACAAAAAGTTCAAGCCACAAAAGAAATTATAAATTCAGCTTTGTTAAAATTAAAATCTCTACATCAAAAGACAGAGTAGGAAGGCAAGCCACAAAATGATAGAAGATATTTTTTGTAACTGTTAATGAATTAACATCCAGATATAATAATGACCTCCAAAATATAAATGCAGAAAGTAGCCAAAAGATTTGAATGGGAATTTCACAAAGAGCTAACATGGCTCATAAATACACAGAAAGATAGGCCATTTCCCACCCTAAAGAAATTGACAAAAAAAATGAAAGTTTGATCATATGAAATACCAGCAAGGATGTGGAAAAATAGGAGTTCGCATCTATATTGCTGGGGTTGTGAATTGATGTAACAAGTGTAGAAGACAATTTAGTAATCCCTGATAACTATGCAGTTTTGTGTGCTAGCATAGTGTATTGGGTTGAATAATATCCCCAAAAATTCTTGTCTGTGGAATCTCATGATGTGACCTTAATTTTGAAAGTCTCTGTGGATATAATTAGTTAAGACGAGGTCATACTAGATTAGGGTAGGCCCTAAATCCAATGACTGGTATCTTTACAAGAAGGCCATGTGAAGGTGGAGGCAGAAATGAGAGTGATGCAGCCACAAGCTAAGGAATGCCGAAGATTGCCAGGAACTGCTAGAAGCTGGGAAGAGGCAAGGAAGGGTCTTTCCCTAGAGCCTTCAGAGAGAATATGGCCCTGCCCACATCTTGTTTTGGGACTTCTAGCCTCTGGAGCTGTAGGAGGATAAATTTCTGTTGTTTTTAAGTCACCTAGTTTGTTGTAATTTGTTACAGTATAATATCTGAAATAATAAAAAAAAATAACCAGGTACATTTGTTTCCTATTGCTGCCATAATGGATTATCAACAACTTAATGGCTTAAAGCAACACAAATTGATTTTCTTACATTTCTGGAGATCAGAAGTCTAAAGTGAGCTCTTCAGGGCTGCAGTCTTTCTAGAGGCTCTCACGTGAAGTCTACTTCCTTGCCTTTTCTGCCTTCTAGAGACTACCTACAGTCTTTGGTTTGTGGCCTCTCCCTCCATCTTCAAAGCCTCCTTCTGTCCTCTCTGACCTCTCTCTTGTCCTTATATCCTCTCTCTCTCTGTCTTTTACACTGCTGATTCCCTCTTACACTGGTCCCACCAGAAGATGCAGAATAATCTCCTTTTCTCAAGATTTTTAACTTAAAGACATCTGCAAAGATTCTTTTGCCATGTAAGGTAACATGGTCCCAGGTTCGGGGGATTAGGACGTGAACATCTTTGGGGAGGCTACTGTTCAGCCTTTCACACCTAGAAACAAACAAATTCATTAACAGTAAAATGGATAAGTAAATATTGATACAGTCATTCAACAGAATACTATATAGCAGTACATGAATAAACTGTAGCTATATGCATTAACATGAATGAATCTTAAAATACTGGGTAAAAAAATAAGTCATAGAACATTAATTACATTTAATATCATTCAATAAATATGAAGGTTAAAACTAGGCACCACTGAGCTAGTATTTTGTTCAGAGATACATACATGTATATCTGTATGTGTCTGCATGTGTGGTAAAAGTATAAAGAAAATAAAAGCACCATTCTGGAGAGTGGTAGTCTCTGGGAAGAAGAGAGGGCTAGATTAGGAAAGGGCACAGAAGGACCCACGTGGTAGATACAAGAGTACTCCTTTTATTCCTACTCTTACAAATATTACACTCTTGTTTATAAATTTCACAAACACTTTCAAAGAAATTAATGTTTTACAATTAATAATTGCTGATTGTTTACACTAGAAACATCTTGAGGAGCAGATTGCTAAAGCTGATAGAGAGTATGAAGAATATGTGTCTGAAGATTTCTTGGAAAACATTAGAGAGATTGGAGACAAGTATAAGAAGAAAGCTGCTCTACTTAAAGCTTCTTCTGATGAATGAAGATAAAATGTTGACTAAGCAAAAACTTTGTGAATGAACAGTGTAAATTTTAAAATGTCCTTCATAGGTTGAAAACTCTCTAATGTATCCTATACCCCTCCTTACAATGAAGTCTCATGACCATATCTTCCCAAGCCTGGAAATATTTTTATATCTTTTCTAAATCTAGCTCATTAACTTAAAGTATGTAAAACCTGAAATTATGATAACTTGTTGAATTGTTATCTTTAGATGTGAAAGACCGTTGTATTATGTACCCAGAGTTAATAAAATTGCATCAGTAAAGTATGTTTCAATGCCTACTTTCAGATGGTTAGAAGACAGGTATTTTTATCTAAACCAGGAATTGTCAAACAAACTGTGGGCCAAATCCAATCACACCCATTCATATACCATCTATGACTGCTTTCACACTACAGTGGCAGAGTTTAGTATATGTGACAGACCAAATGGCCCACAGAGCAAAAAATGTGTACTATCTGGCCCTTTACAGAAAATGTCTGCCAGTCCCTGGTATAAGCCATACAAAGGTTGGTACTGTTTTAAAAAACTGTTTTGAAAACTTTCTCAATGACTGACACATAGTCTTACCCACTCCTTATCCAGAGCCAAGAAACTAAAGTGCTTTTTGGCTTCATGCCACCTTTACTCTGAAATAAGCAGAATATGGAATGTGAGAATTAGCAGAAATAATAAAATAGTCCAGTTCAACCCCCTTATTTTAGAGATGAGAATTCATTCCTAGAGAAGTTCTGCTTTACCGATTGTCACACCTCTGAGTGTGGAAGAAGCCACATTGGAACTTACTTGAACCTGTACACAATCCTGAGTATGCCACAGGATCCATGAAATATGAGCTCTGGATGCTGAGGAAATCATGTTAGAATATGAAAGTATTAGGTCTAAACTGCTAGAAAACTCCTCTAAGTTGAACTGACATCTGCCTCCAGTTGAACCTTCTATTCATTAAACTTTATTCTAATTCCAGTGCAAGTCAGAAGAACATGATAAGATGAAAAGTAAGCAATATTCTATGGGAACTCAGAATGGAATTCCAGCAAAGTTTTATGAAAGGAAGGCATTCAGCCAGAGAGAGCTGAATGAACAGACTGGTCATAGTTAATGGATAACTCCCAGATCTGACAAGATTAATAGTCACCAGTGTATTCAAAAATCTTGACTACTGACATCCTGTAGAACTTTCTCTAGTGATGGAAGTACTCGATCTGTGCTCTCCATTATGGCATCAGCCATGTGTATCTAGTGTGGACTCAAGTGACACGTTTATGACAAATAACACAAGCTTTGCCACTAAACACAGTGTGGAAACAGTGGGAGCGCCATCAGCCCACTTGCTCACTAAAAATGCAGACTTGGCCCCACGCCAGACCTACTAAATCAGAATCTGCACTTTTTGTAGTGTATTGACATAGCTATGTATTTAAGCTTCTCATAAGTTTTGACATATATACACCCATAAAATCATCCCATCTAATAAAGATGTCACGACTAAAAGTTTCCTTGTGGTCCTTTGCAATCCTTTCTCTTGCCCCACACCCATCATCAGGCAAACACTGGTCTCCTTTCTGTTACTATAGATTCATTTGCATTTTCTAGGATTTTATATAAATAAAATCATAGAGTATGTATACTTATATAGCTTCTTCCATTCAGTATTTTGAGATACACATTGTACTATATATTAGTAATCTGTTCCTTTTTATTGCTAAGTGTTCCATTATATATGAATACATTGAGTTTGTTAATTCATTCACCTCTTGATGAGCATTGGGTTCTTTATGGTTTTGGCTATTACAAATAAAGTCTATGAATATTCATGTTCAAGTATTTGAATGTATTCTTTCATTTCTCTTGGGTAAACAGGAGTGGAATGACTAGTTCATAAATGGTAGGTGCAAATTAGCTTTTATGAAATTTCGAAAATGTTTTCTAAAGTGGTTATACCTGCAATATATGTGACTTCCATTTGCTCCACACCCACACTTGGGATGGTCAGTTGTTTTATTTTTAAACATCCTAAGGGTATATGGTTCTATCTCATGATATTAATTGGCATTTCCCTAATGACCAATGGTGTTAAGCACCTTTTCGTGACCTTATTGCCAGTCATATATATTCATGTCTGTTCAAGTATTTGCCCATATTTTTACTGATTGTTTCTTATTACTGATTTGCAATAATTTTTATATATTATAGATACAAATCCTTTGTCTGATACATGTTTTGGAAATATTTTCTCCAGTCTGATTTGCCTTTTAATTTTCTTAATAGTATTTTCTGAAGAGCAAGTTTTTAATTTTGATGAAGACCAGTTTATTGCATTTTTTTAAATACTTGCATTTTGTGTAGTATTTAAGGAATTTTCTCCCAAGCCCAAGAAATCTTTGCCAACATCACTGATTTTCACTTCTTTTATTCTAGTTATTTTATAATCCTGACTACTGAATCAAAATCAGAATCCACATGTGTTTTTAAAAAGGTCCCAAACTTGTTTATATGTACATTAAAATTTGAAATGCACTACTTTAAAATAAAAAGTCACCGCTTAATAGTATCCATAATGTAATACTATTTAATAGTGACATTAGGAATGACAGAAAAATCTTAAAAGTTCAACCAAAGTGATAACCGTAGCACAACTTGGGATGTGTTTAAGAGACAAAATGATCAGTGTACTTGCAAGGGCACTTTTAGCATTTTTTTAGCTCACTCTACAAGTTTTCTTCTGAATGCCTAAAGGCATGCTTGTCTTCAGAACTAATGCCATTGAGGGTGATAATATTCCAGTTAAAAATTCCAAGAATCCTAGTAGAGTCAGATGGTTTTCGTTACACAGTTCAGTTTCCCAACCCATCAGGAATACCTCCCATGGCATTTTTGTAAATGATTACCTAGCCTTGTCTGAATACTTCCAGTGACAGGACTGCTTCCAAACTGCTCATTACTGCAAAGTAGCTGATGGTTGAGCAATGCTGCTTACCAGAAGATTCTGTCATATGTTGGGCCAAAATCTGCCTTCATGCTACTTCCTCTAGTTCCATCTTTCTGTCACAGGATAGTTGGGTTATCAGTTTCTGATTCCATTTAGGGAAGTAAGTTATCTACTTATTATTGGTCACCATATTTAATCCTACATATGAGTAAATCATTCCCCAGTTGTTTTGGTATGCTATTTTACCTTGCTTTCAATGATACTATTTTAAGTCTTTCTTCAATAGAAGTATTTTATTTTAAATTTTGGGATAATTTGACTTTAAAAAGGAATAAGACTTAAAACAAATTATCCCTTTTCACATAAATTCCATAGCTAATATTATACTATATCATTCTCTCCCCTGCACTATCTATCTTGACTAACCTAGAAGTTGCAAACATGATAGCCCTTTACTTTCAAATACTAAGTATATTTCCTAAAAACAATGACAATCTCTTACTTAACCATAAGACTTATCTAAATCAGGACATTAATATTGGTACATTAGTACCTAATCTATGGAACTTAGTCAAATTTTGTCAGTGTCCCAATTATGTCCTTTATCAGGATTTTTTTCCTTGTCCAGCATCCAATCCAGGATCACACATTCCATTTAGTTGTCAAATTTATATAATCTCCTTTACACTGGAAGAATCCCTCATTCTGTCTTTGACTTTCACAACCTTGGCATTTTTGAAGAGTCCAATAATTTATTTATAATAATTTGGACTGTCCCTCAACTTTCACTTAATGCATTCTCATGATTAGATAGGGATGTATTTCTGGCAGGACACCACAGAAGTATATAATTGAAATTGATAAAGTTGGGATTTGGAGCATCCCCACCTGGATCCCTGGTATGTAGGCTAAGAGCTTGAATAGTGAGGAAAGCCATAAGGAAACTGCTTGAACTGCCTGTTTGGCCAAGATAGTAAAAAAATAACATAATATGCCAAGGAGGATGCAGAGATTAGGGCCACCATTAAATACCTAAAGGGTTTAGGGTGGTGAGCCATATCATAACATTTAATTAACCTATCTGGCTCTTTCAGAAATGGGATGGACCCTGGAGAATGATGGGATTGCCACAGACTTGACCCAGTAGCAGCTCCTATCCCATCTCCTATACCAGATGTGGTAACACAGCTAGAGCCCATTAATAAGGCCTCGGGTAGGTGGTAGGCAGCCATTGCTTTGGTGACTACATTCTTTACAATGCCAATTAGGAAAGATCAGAGAAGTCTGCAATATTGTGAGATGGACAGCAATATTCACTAAGTCATTTACAGGGTTATCACAAGCTGTGGTAACTCTCCTACCTTCTGTCATAACATACCTGGACCACCTGGACAATGTACTGATTCATTCCATCAATGACATCCTGATTGGACAGGATGACTAAGAGTTGGCTAGGATACTAGTGGCATTGGTAATATACATACCCTCCAGAGAGATGGAGATAATCCCTAAAGAGATTCAGGAACCTACCTCTTAAGTGAAGTTTTTAGGGGTCCTTAAGGCATGCCAGGATATCACCTCCGAAACAAAAGACAAACTGCTACATCTTTCATTCCCTACCATAATGAAAATCAGTACCTGATTGACCTGAGTTCTGGAGACAACACAATCCTTACCCAGAAATATTGTTCCAATCCATATATTGAGTGACGTGAGAGGCTTGATTGGACCAAGAAAGAGGTCCAGGCCATGTGTGATCAGCCCTCCTTGTTGAATCACAGTCCTGCAGACCCTGTGGTGTCAGAGTCATCAGTGGTAGGAAGAAATATACTATGAAGTTTATGAAAGCTCTAGTGAGAGAATCAAGTGGGAGATCTCTGGGGTTCTAGAATAAACTCATGACATCCATGCAGAAAAATGCTTTCTTTGAGAAAAAGCTCTTGACATGTTACAAAGCCTTGGTAGAGACAGAACACTTGACCATGGGATATTAAGTGACTGTGTATCTGAAACTTCCCATTGTGACCCACCAGGACATAAAGTTAGGCCTAACAGCAGTCCATCATAAGATCGAAATGGTACATCCAGCACCCATCCGAACAGGACCAGATGATGTGCCCAAGCAGGCACTTCAGATCCTCATGTGACCCATAGTGTTCCTTCCCCATTTTTCACCTATGGACATAGAGGATCCCACACAATCAGCTGAAAAAGAGGAAAAAATTCCCAAGCTTGGTTTTTAGATGGGTCAGTTCACATGTGGGGTCCAAATATAAAATACTCAGCAGGTGGATTGAACCACATTCAGAGGCAACCCTGGGAAACTGTGCCAAGGGAAGTTCATCCCAAAGGGCAAAACTATGAACAGTATGCCTGGTCATCCACTCTGTGTAGAAGAAGAAGTGGCCTAAGATGAGAATATATACAAAATCAAGAACAGCAGCAATGGCTTCACTGTCTGGTCCAGACCTGAAATTCAAAGGACTAGAAGATAGGAGACAAAGTTATCTAAAGGACAGCCATTGGATGAATGTATGTGAGTGGGTACCAATGTAAAGGCTTTTTAATCCCATGTTAATGCCCATCAGAAAACATCTACTACAGAAGAGGCACTGACAAATCACTCAGTTAGAACTGGTGTGATGGGTACCTGAGGGGAATAGTCGTGTCAGAGATGGAAGCACAGGGCCAACAGCAGAGACTCCCACTTACTAAGATTAATCTAGTTACCTACCTATGAATGTCCATCTTGTCAGCAAGAGACCAACACTGAGCCCCTGATACAACACTATCCTTGGAGAAGACTAACCAGTCACTGGGTGACATATTGACTATATGAGGCCCCGTCATTTCATCCTCACAAGGAGAGTTACCTATTTTGGTTAAGAGTTTACCTTTCCTACCCTTATAGCCTCAAACAGTGCTGCTATCTGGGGCTTATGGAATTCTTGATTCACACGCATGGAATTCTGTGCACAATAATATCTGAATGGTAAAGAAATACGGAAGTGGCCCCTAGCCAGACTTATTAAGAGAAAAAGAGAATCAACACACATCAACAGAATCAGAAACAAGAAAGGAAAAATCACAATGGACCCCACAGAAATACAAAGAATTATTAGAGACTACTATGAAAACCTATATGCTAACAAGTTGGAAAACCTACAAGAAACGGACAACTTCCTAGAAAAATACAACCTTCCACGACTGACCAAGGAAGAAACAGAAAATCTAAACAGACCAATTACCAGCAATGAAATTGAAGCAGTAATCAAAAACTACCCAAGAGCAAAACCCCCGGGCCAGATGGATTCACCTCAGGATTTTATCAGACATACAGGGAAGACATAATACCCATTCTCCTTAAAGTTTTCCAAAAAATAGAAGAGGAGGGACTTCTCCCAAACTCATTCTATGAACCCAACATCATCATCATAATACCAAAACCAGGCAAAGACCCCACCAAAAAAGAAAATTACAGACTAATATCCCTGATGAGCATAGATGCAAAAATGCTCAACAAAATATTAGCAAACCAAAATCAAAAATACATCAAGAGGATCATACACCATAACCAAGTGAGATTCATCTCAGGGATGGAAGGATGGTACAACATTCAAAAATCCATCAACATCATCCACCACATAAACAAAAAGAAGGACAAAAA